GTAGTGAGCGAGCCTGTGTGTGTGTGTGTGTGTGTGTGTGTGTGTGTGTGTGTGTAAGTGTGTAGATTAGAGGACAACTTTGAGACTTTTCCCTTTCCTGCCATGACCCCGGGGGAACACACTCAGGCCGTGAGACTTTGTTGGCAAGCAAAGCGCCTTCACCCACTGAGCCCTCCCAACTGCTCCTAACTTCTGCTTTCTAGGAGGAAATAGGCCGTGATGGGAGAAGCGCCTTGCCCAGGAGCACGTGACTGAAGAGCAGCAGACATTTTAACAGCTAATATCTGTGAGGCTGTCCCTGAGACAGAATGCTCCTCAGCTGTCAAACCTCCTCCGCTGAGGGAGGGGCTGTGCGTACTTCTCCCCAGTCCGTCCTCCGAATGCCTAGGTGAAGTTGCTCCGGACTCCATTTCACAGTTGAGGAGACTGAGGTGAGGTAGAGATTTCCGCAAGGACATCGAGCTTTGGGGATGGCCCACCCACCCCAGCACGTTGGCATAACAGCGCGAACCGGCGGGCACCTGCGGAGCCTCCCCCCAGAGGGGATGCCAAGGGTGGGGCTAAGGGAAGCAGCTTGGCGGGGGCGGGGCGGGGGCGGGGCAGGCCCGCAGTTCTCTATGGGGAGAAAGCCCCGCCTCCGTGCGAGAGAGAGGGCGGGGATTGGCTCGGCGTGGCGGGATTGGCAGCCCCGGGAAGCTCGCCGCTGGGGGGGGGGGGGGAGGGGGCGGGGAGCGAGCCGGAAGTGAGCGAGGAGGCGGCCGAGGCGTGCTGGCCGGCGAGCCGCGGCCGCCACTCTGCGCAGGAGCCGCTGCGGGGCGGGCGCCCGGCGTGATGGAGGGCCCCGGGCTGGGCTCGCAGGTGAGCGCGGCAAGGCGGGGCGGGGACGGCGGTGGGGCCCCGAGCGGTGGCCAGGTGAGGCAGCTCCGCGACGGTGCCCGGGCCTGGGCCTTGGCCATCCAGAGGGAGATGCTGCTTGTGGCCGCGAAGCGAGGGCTGGGCGGGCGCGCCTGCCGCTTCCATTTGGCTGCAGGGCGTCACGCACCGGCCTCTGGGTCGGCTGGGACCTGGAGAGTGTCAGGTGACACACCTCAGGTGGCCCAGCCAGCCTTAGACCTTGGCCTGCCTGGAGTCTGAGAGATTTCGGTCGTTTTCAGCCCTAGCGCCTAGGCTGCCGCCTTCCCTCCTCCACCCTGTGCTGTCCTGGCTCATGTTCCCACCCGCATCCTTCCTACTCCTTGAAAGCTTGGTACCTTCTGCAAAATCCCAAAGGACTCTGCTCTTCGCAGGGCGCCTGTTACATCGTCAGTTCCAGAGGCCACAGGGGAAGCTTTAAAAGCCGAGAGAACTGAGAATGTGTCCGTTTTGATTGTGACCTCTAAAGACTAATTAAATGGCTTTTTAGTAGATGCTTTTTCAATCCTAGCAAATGTTTAGCATGTGCCACGGACCTTTATGAGCATCTTTTTATCCCAGCAACCTTAAGCATAAAAAAAAAAAATCCCCTCTTACAGGTGAGAAAACTGAAGCAGCTTCTAATTCGAGTGAGCTAGAAGTCGATTTTCCAAGCAATTTGGAGTAATCACATTGCTTGGACTCCTTTAACTGTTTTTCCTAATCCCAAGAGTGTTCTTCACATCTTTCTCTTTTTTCTTCTTCAACCAGTTGGGTGTAGGTTTAAGTGGCAGTTAACATGCTGAAGTGTTTTCATGGAGAGTTCTTGCATTTTAAAAGAAAACGATGTGCAGGGAGACTGTATTTTACAAAGTGGCGTAGACTCTACATGGAACCGTGTCTCCTTATTTTTTTCAGACTCAAAAGTTGGTAACAGTAGCCATTATTTTTTTTTAACTATTGTCACTCATTAATAAAAGCCTATAGGGGCTTAAAGTTTATTCCTCCGTGCTGAAGGGAAAATTACCCTGCCCAAGTTCTCTGACATCAGAAGGGAGGATGATTTTAGAGATTGAAGTAGGTGGGCCAAGATAGATTGTTGCTAATAATGATTACTATTGTTACTTTCTTCAGTTACAATGGGGAGACCTTACACTTTGCAGTAGAAATCCCCCATTCTTGGTCCTCACTACTCACTTGTGAGCTAGTAAAGAGTAATTATTTCTAATTTTAAAAGTGAGAACTGAGACTCACGAAAGTAGAGTCACAGCTATAAGAGCAGCAAGGTGTCACTGCTAAGATTCCACTCATCTAGTAAATGTTTTGAATGTCCCCTAGAAATTAGGCTCTATTCTTCATGAACAAAGCCAACAGAAAAACATCCCTTTTGTTGAATTTGGTACTTAGCACTGATAGTTTTTTGTCAGAAATTTTCCACCCAACCTTGTTCTTGGTTATGTTTAAGACCTCATCTTTTACAGTTTTGTTTGGTCAGTAAACTCCCAGCTACACTGGTCTCCAGGCCTTTATACTTACTTGCTCAGCCTAGAATGTTCTCTCCTGTGCATTGATGTGGCTTATTCCTCCACATCTATAACGTCTTCAGAAAAATCTCACCTTGGCGTCTTGTTTTCCATCCCCTTGTACTTAAAGTTACAAGCCTTTCCCATTGTCATCACTAGCAACAACACTCTGTGACCACCTTCCTGGTTTCATATTTCTCCCCAGCGTTTAATATTATGCAATATACTCACTGATCCTGATGATGCTCTCTTTCCCCTCTGCCAGAAATGAGTGCTACGAGGGCAGTGATTGGTATCAGATGCAAACATCAAAAATGAGAGTCTAACTGGTGTCCAAGCAACAGTGAATTTAAAAATGTAACTCTCATACTTCTGTTAACATTTCGACAAATTTTAATTATTTTCTGTTATACCTCCCTACCCCCATTTTATTTGTTAGTCATGATAATGACCCTCACCAGAGTTTTCCAGATCATGGTTTTTCTCTTAAAGTCCATTGTAACTTCAAAAGTACTTGCTATTTTAAAAATAGTTTGATTGCATGATAATTCCCCTATAGCTTAAAGATGCTCTAATTACATGTTGTGGTATAACAAACCATTCAACACAATGGTATAAAGAATATCCATTGTTAACTCATGGATCTGTGCATCAGAAATTTTTATATACTGACTGGTTCAGGTTGGTTTGCCTTCCTGTTCCATTGTGTCTAGAGCCTTAGCTGGAAAGACTCATAAACTAGATGTGGATTGCTAGCTGGGGCTGGTATTATCTGGAAGTGTTTCTACGAATAGATCTGGTAGTTGATGCTGACTCTCAGCAGACACCTCTATGTGACATGTGATCTGGTCTTCTACATAGTTTGGTAGCTGCACCCTAAAAGAAGTGTGTCTTAGGAGACAGGAAGAGGAAGGTGCATTTCTAAGGCTTAGACTTGCAAACGGGCACAGCATCGTTTCTGCAATATTTTATTAGTGAAGCAGTTCACAGAGCTTAAAGTCAAGAGGAAGTGGCATAGACCTTCACGTCTTGATCTTGAAAAGAAAAAGAAAAAAAATTGGGAGACTATATTGTAAAGACTGCCACAGGTGTACCAGTATGCCTCTTACATAATGTTCCTATTTTGGCCTTTTTCCCTGTGAAGAAGTATTCAAGTAAGTGTGCTTTCTTGTTACTCCTTTCTTCTCTTTCTCCCCAACAATCCATGTCTTTTATGAAAACAGACAAGAAACAAAACATGTTATCCTGGTACCTTAAGTCATTTGTGAACTGGACTCCTAAGTGTACTAGAGAAAAATTGGAATCGTAGATTACTTAGAGCCAGGGACATTTAGCTTTTATCCAACTGAATAGATTGTAATTACTGTGATATACAAAGACTCCTAGAAGGTTCTAACTTTCATTATACTGTAACTAAGTGTATGTTGTTTTTGGCTATGTATGACTCCGTGTTGATTTTTTTAGCAGATACAGCAAAACACACCTATTCAAAAGAGCATTGTGGTTCTGGTTCTGGGTAAAATGGAAGGGTTGGAAACACACCTCTGTCTCCCACTGAGTGTAGCTGTGAAGTCTGGCAGACGATATAACATCATCAGGACTCCGGAAAATGATAGAAATAAGATTGAAGATGACCAGAAGTCAGACTCTACCAACCCAGCAGATAATTTACCTTTTTGCTTCTTATGGTTTCCCTCTGTTGTAGACTTAAGTCCTAAAGGAGGGCATGTGTGTATAGACAGCGCACCATAAGAAATCCAGTTCACTCAAGAAGCAAGCAAAGACTTCTGGCAGCATGGGTGCTGGAACTTTCTTCAGTAGCCAGAAGAATTGTGATTTCAAGAGTAGTTCCCAGAACTGAGCACAAAATAAAAATCCATCTGTGAAATAGCAAGCTGATAAACTGGACATCAAAATTTAAAGCTCATCAACCATGAATGATTCTTCTAAGAAAAAGAGCTACAGCCCAAGGGAAAATATTTGCAAGTCACATATCTCTAGTACTGTATCTAGATTGTTTAAAGTCAAGAACTCTTAAAATTTAACAGTAAGAAAACAAATAGCACAAATGAAGAATACTAGCTAGACAAGTTAGCGTATGCCTGATATCCTAGTTTTTAGGAAGCTGAAGCAGGATGATCACTACAAGTTAGAGGCTGAACTGTATGTAGTGAGACTCTGTATCAAAAAAGGGAGGATGGCAAAGACTTGAACAGAAACTTTCATATAAGATATGCAGAAGACAGGTGAGATGTGAAATAATGCTCACCCTCATTCACCATTAGGGAAATGAAAATTAAGACCTTTGTGAAGTGTGCTATACATCTTTGTGCTAACAGTTGACCAAGTTGATGGATTGGGTAGTGCTCTTTTAAAGTCTCTCTGACTCACAGGTTGTTGTTTTTACTTCTTAAATTAAAACATTTTTTTTACTTCATGAATTTAAACATTTAAATTCATTACACATTCAGTGTTGTTATATCTTCTAATTTAATTAGCTTTATAATATTATAAAGTCTCCTTTACTCCTCAAAATATTGTTGACACTTGCTTTGTCATTTAACCACTGTGTTCTTTATGCTTAATATTTGTGTACCTCTGTGTATTTTTATGTTCAAATTGAGTTTTCCATAGACAGCCTTGTACCGTTCACTCTGTACATACCTGTATAGAGTACATTCTTTTTACTTTTTAAAATTTAGAATATATGCAAAGAATATGTCTTTTTGTTTTTAGGAAGCATCGAGAAACTTTTAAGTATCTCATATCTTAAGCTTTGCCCCCCTGCACACACACGCACACACACACACACACACACACACACACACACATGCACACACACACTCTCTCTTCCCTGATTAGCTTATTTCTCTCTTGAAATCTGTTCTCATCTTGAGCCATCCCAGCCTATTCCATCCATTATTTCTGGCTTCTCATTTATAGACGGAGGCCCTGAGGCTCTAGTGTACTTCTTAACATTGCAACCCAATATTGTTACAAAGTAGCTTAAAATAATCACCAACAATTTCAATGTATTAAGCAAATTTACTATTTTGTTTTGGTTTGTTCAGCACATGAGACTAGTGGTAACTTTGAAATTTTTGGGTTCATGGTAAGGTTCACCCACGTCCCTTCCTTTCTTCTTAATTGAAATTTTTTTTTGTATACTGTGCTCTGATCATGGTTTCCCTTTGCCTTAACTTCTCCCAGATCCTCCCCACCTCCGTACTCCATCTACTCCATACAGTTCTCTTTCTCTTTCCCTCCCTCCCTTCCCCCACCCCTGCTCCCCCACAACTTTCTTAAACTCTGATTTCTTGGAGATCATATTCATGCCTCCTATTATTGTTCATAGTTAAAATAGCTTATTTCAGGTATTTTTCCAGTTTTCTAGGTCTTCTTTGAAGTAGCAAGACAGTCAGTGGCGAGATCCAATCCTGGTTATTGCATTGTGCTCCTGTGTTCCCTGCTCTGGGGACCTTAACTGATGTAGCCATTTTTAAGCTGAGCTTCGCATTTAACCTTTAATGCCAAACAGTTACACTTATGGCTACATATTGTTAAGAATCGCTTATGCGTGGGTACCCAGAGACATAGACAAGAGAGTGCACAGCAGTATTGTGTGCAGTAGCCCCAAACTGGGAAGATCCAAGTGGCCACTTTAGTAAGTTGATGGTGGCATGTTAATGCTGGATCATCTTACATCAATAGGAGTGAATTAATTGTAGCTTCTTACATCATCTTGTAAGTTTAACATGAAGCAAAACAAAGGTTACATATATATAACGTGATTTGACACCAGATTGAAACAACTAGTTCTAAGGTTGCACATATAAGGGATGGATGACACTGTAAAGAAAAGCAAAACCAGTTATTCTTAATAGGAGGAAGCTTTCTTCAGTGTGGGAATAGTATCTATTGGGGGCAGTATGATGGGGTGCCGGCAGTGTGCTTTCATGGCTTTGGTGATAATTTTGTGTAGTTCACTTAATACTTACGCTGTACACTGTTTAAAAGAAGCAGTCAAGGCCAGATATGGAATACATTCCTGTAGTTCTGGCACTTCAGAGGTGGAGACAGGAGGATCAGAAAATACATTATTAGATTTTTTTTTTCCATACTGCTCAGAGGACAGTTTCAGGAAGAAAATTCTAAAGTATTTCAAAGTGATGTAATAGCTAATCACCAAGGAAACTATATTGAAGGTGGTAAGTACTGCTGGTTTTTAAATCATCTTTAAGTTGTACGTAAGTACCTCTTACTTTGCTTAACAGTAATTCAGGAATTTACCCTCTCCTTCACTGTTGCTTCAGTCTTTGAGCAGTGAGTGCAGGCCCTCCTATATGCTGGGTAAGAACTCTTTATCACTGACGTATACCCCCAGCCTGCTCTCAGTGCCCCTTTCTAGCAAGAGCAATGCGTTTATCGACATTGAATACTTTATTTCCACTTGGAAGTTTGAGCAGTTTAAGAGACTGATTTGATTGGTTATCATACTAATGAATTACAGTTTTACCATCATTGAACTTAAATTTTAGGGTTTTTTTTTAATTTTAGAATATATGCAAATAGTATCTATTTTTAGGAAGCCTTGAGAAACTTAGTGTCTGGAATCTTCAGCTGATATGAGTCCCTCTCTCAAATAAAGTTAGATATTTGCTTTGGAGGCATTTAAGTGACTCAATGAGCCTCATTTGTACTGGAGATTTTAACCCATTTCCAACCTCTCTCCTGATGTTTGTGTGTACTTGATATTTTAATGAAGTTGTTGACAATTATCAAGTGTGCCACCACCGCCCAGCTTCTTCTGATTGTTAACTTGACTACACCTGTAATCAACTAAAACCCAAGCAGCTGGTCATTGCTGTGAAAGATTTTTTTTAATTGTTAATGACTTATTTCTTTTTATTTTATGCACACTGGTGTTTTGCTTGCTTGTATGTCTGGTGAGAGATTTGTCAGGTCCCTTGGAACTGGAATTACTAGGCCTGATGGGATTCCTTCCATGAACTCTGTGGTCACTATCTGTTGCTGAAGAGTATTTTTTAGGGTGTGCTCACAACCCTGAAAACAAGATCCTAGTAATGTTCTTACAATGTCAATAGCCATGACCCTCTACTACGACAACTACCAAGGCATGTCATGCCTTTTCAGATAACATATTCCACGACATTTATAATTTGCGATTTTCTAATAGTAAACATCTAAGATAAACTCTCTAAGATACTCTCTAAGAGTTTAAAGCATAGGTATTGTTGATAGTATTGAATAATTGACATAATTATGACGTTGATTCTTTTATATGCTTTGTCAATTGCTCTTACTCTTCAGTGCAGGAATCACAGCCATGGCTCGCACGGTCCGGGATTTGGTCGACATGGCATCTGTACTCACGAAAACAAAGAACTTTCGAAGACAAAAGAAATTCTTCCTCTTATAGAGGACTCCAGTAACTGTGACATTGTCAAAGCTACACAGTGAGTCTACTAGATACTCTGTATCATCCATAGAGCCTGTTCAGTTACGATAATATGTGTACAGTTGATGGTACTTTATGGCCACTTCCTTACTGTATCCCAGCAGCTCGAGACCAGCACCAAGTGTATTTGCCATATCAGTATCAGAGTACTTAGTGATTATGAGCGACTTCTTAGCAAAATTATGTATCCTCTTTGTTTGTAGCCCCAGGCCTCTTGCTTAGTTCTGTCTTTCTTTGGGTGCCTGGTAAATTGTTTACTGAATGAATGAATGAGTGAATGAATGAATGGTTAGATGGATGAATGTGTTGGAACAAGACTAAAGCCACCCTGAATTTGATTTTAAAGCATGTTGTAACCTAATACAGGAGTGGGATGGGAAATATCAGCTCATGTTTATAAATATTAACCATTAATTATTCTCTATTTCCTACATTTTTGTTTGGTGACATCAGAGGACAGATAGTTAGAAGTATATTGTCTGACTTGAAGCAAATAATGGGTCTGTTCCTTGTGCTAAAAATAGAAATGCTTTTGGTGGTCATTTGTGGACATCTGTATCATCAGTTACTACCCATGTTTTCATCTTCATGGAGCCTGTTTATTTCCGTGGCCATCTTACTTCTTGCTTTTGAGCATATTTTGAAATGTGTTGTCTATCAGACAGAATTAAGTAGTAATTTATATTTTGGTATTGAGAGTAAACATTATAATGTTTATTTAAGTCACACTCATCTAATCACCATAAAAAATTATTATTACCAGATTATCTTGGTATGGTTTCTGTTAAATCCCTGGTTGGCCTTAACACTAATGTTTATTGTTCATTATTCATGTATTGAGAATTATCTGAGTATCTGAGTATTACCAACGTTTATAAAGTTTAAAGGCTCCAGGTCTACTACATTGGGTGAATATAATCTGGTAGTTTGAGTTGTAGTGAAGACAAGAGTATTCGTAAGGGGAATGTTGTCTTTAATTAGAGTGGGAACATTGAAATGTCTCTGTCACCTGGAAAGCTCTGTTGTGCCAAATGCTAGATAGATATCAGATACATTTACAGGGAAGCCCAGTAAGAACTCATGTCTGATGTTCTGTTAGGTCTTGGACCTTCTCAAATGAACATGGAGATATTTTTAGTTAATTATTTAGGAAGGAGAAATGAACAGAGAGGCAGACATTAGAAACGACCAATAATATGTCCTCTTAATGTTTCTCAAATAAAAAGGAGAATTCTTTTCCAGTAAAATAACCAAGGTGACCTTTAAAAGATGGAGTATCCAGCTGTAGGGCTGCGTCGTTATCAGAAGTTTCCACATATTGTTTTTGCTTAGCATTGTGATACATACACCTCCACTCTTTAAAATGCTGCAAAGGCATGTGCACATTTTTATCAAGCAGAAACATTTTCATTTCACAGTGTGGAAAAGTGAGATCTTTCACCAGGTGATTTGATTTTTGACCTCTGAGAGCCAGTTGACACTTTCAGGTCCTTCTAGATAAAAATGAGTTTCAGACAAAGTGCTAAAAAATATGTTGTGGTTAGTTTCCATGGAAAAGTAATGTTGTGCGGTGGTGCTGGTGGTGCTGGTCAAGTTGGTGCTGGTGGCGGTGGTGGCGGTGGCAGCGGTGCACACCTTTAATCCCAGCACTCTGGAGGCAGATGGGATCTCTTAAGTTTGAGGCTAGCCTTGTCTGCTGATCAAGCTCCAGGACAGCCAGAGATACATGGAGAAACTCTGTCTTGAGAAGCCAAAAGGAGGTAGAGGTGTTGCTAATGAATGCTTTTTAAATTTATGCAAATATTAGAAGACATATGCCTCAGTAGATTTGATGTATCCTAGACTCCTTTTCCATTCCTGTTGTCTGCCTCACACATTAGGTTCTCATCACCTGTAGTCTTTGCTCCTGCCCTAAGCACTTTGTAGTCTTTGCTGTTTACCCCTATGTTGGTCTCTGAACTGTTCGTACGCTGGTCTAAGTAACTTCCATAGTGCCACTAATGTAATCTTTCTTAAAAGTCAGATTCTCAGCACTTTCCTTCTCAAGTTTGGTTTGAAAGTTCCTTGGTTTCCCAGTGAACTGTGGATGAGACACTCACAGTCTCATCTACCTTGTGTGGTCTTGCCTCTTGCCCTTCCCGGTCTACTGTATTGTTGGTGCTCGGCATTGCTAAGTTGCTTCTGCTTCTTTGAACATCTCTATAGTATTTCACATCTCAGTTTTTGTACATATGCTGTTTATTCCTCCTGTCCAGAATGCCCTCCCTTCTTAAAATACAGTATGTGTATCATGTTTTAGTTTCTCCAGGAGGGACTCATCATTCCCTCCCTGCCTAGGTCTACATTCTGGCCATTTCTTGTTGAAATTTTCCCATTCTAAGTTTACTTTTAGGGTTTTGTCTACATTGTGAGGTAGTTGCATAGATGTGCTTTGCTTCAGAGATAAAATTGTAGTCAGGAGCCAGCACCATATGTTGTTAGGCAAATGCAATTATTGAAGGAGCTCCACATGGATTAATCCATCAGTATGTACGCTGAGCTTACTTTGTTTGCCTTTACACATTGTGCATCAGTTAGACTTGGACCATATGTAAGAATTCTCCATTGTGGAGTTCAGCAACCAGTTTCAACCAGTTGGGTTCAAAATGTCTTCAAGAAATATGGCACTGAGTTAAGTGCCCAGCACAGGATAAGGCCTCAAATTAGGGGCTAGGGCAGTGGTTCTCAACCTTCCTGATGCTGCGATGCTTTAATATGTTCCTCATGTTGTGGTGACCCCCAACCATAAGATCATTTCATTGCTACTTCATAGCTGTACTTTTGCTACTGTTATGAATTGTAATGCAAATATATGATATGCAGGATATGAGACCCAGAAAGGGGTCATGACCCACAGGTTGAAAAACTCTGGAAAGGTAACACCAATGGGATATCTTCAGCCTGTTATATTGCTGTGTCATAAATATCATATGAAAATGTGAATCTGTTCTGAGTGTCAGTGCTTAAGGCAGGAGCAACAATGGAGTTTTTTTGAACCTAGGATGTTGAGTATGTTAGGCAAGCATTCTACTGCTGAGTTACATCATCAGCCTTTTTAATTTTATCTTACTGCATGATTTTCTTGTGTGTGTGTTCATGCTCCATGGCACACAAATGGAGGTCAGACAACAACTTACAAGACTCAGTTCTCTTTCCACTATGTGCCCCTAGGTTAGAACTCAGGTCATCAGGCTTGGCAGTAGGTGCCTGTATCCAACAAGGAATCTCCCTACCCTCTTCCCCTTTTCTAAATTTTAGTTTTGAGACTGGTTCTCCCTGTGTAGCCCAGTCAAGAAGGGTGGTTTTGTATGTCAACTTGGCACAAGCTAGAGTCATCAGAAGAAGGAGCCTCAGCTGAGGAAATGCTTCGATCCAGCTGTAAGGCATTTTCTCATTTAGTGATCAATGAGGGAGGAGCCAGCCCATGGTGGGTGGTGCCATCCCTGGCCTGCTGGTCCTGGGCTCTATAAGAAGGTGGGCTGAGCAAGCCATAGGAAGCAAGCCAGTAAGCAACTCCCCTCCATGGCCTCTGCATCAGCTCCTGCCTCTGGGATCCTGCCTTGTTGAAGTCCTGTCCTAACTTCCTTTAGTGATGAACACCAATGCTGAAATGTAAACCAAATAAACCCTTTCCTCCTCAAAAACAACAAAACCTGCACCAGCTCTTGTACTGTACATTCATAGAAATTTAAAACTTTGTCTTGGCTGCCTATACAATATCATATGATAGCTGTTTACATGGCATCTATATTGTGTAAGTAACCTATAATTGACTTAAAGTACGTGGGAAGATATGCATAATTATTATATATGACACTTTTATGTAAGGGACTTAAACATGCGCAGATGTTTGCATCTGCAGGGATCCCTCCAAGGATACTGAGGGACAACTACTTTCTATTTCCATGTTGACTAAAATGTTATTTGAATTAAAAAAAAAAACAGTAGTGGTAAAGGGAAGAAAGTTTTACGTATAAAACTATTGTACTAGTATTAACTATGCTTTTCTTTTTCTTATTTAAGATATGGAATTTTTGAACGATGTAAAGAGTTGGTAGAAGCAGGATACGATGTCAGACAACCAGACAGAGAAAATGTGTCTCTACTTCACTGGGCTGCCATTAACAACAGACTGGAGCTTGTAAAGTAAGATGGGGTGTATGTGTATGTGCGTGTGAACTGGTCTTTGTGCTTCCAGAACTCACTTCCATTTTGTTTTTCCTGTGAGATGGACCACCTGTGGTCTTCTTTTGTAAATGAATACCTGGAATTTACCACACATCTGTCACTATAGAGTTGAAGAGAACCAATCGTAGTAAAGGGGACCTATCATGAACATAAAGGCTAGTAAGCAAAAACTTGTGTTTTGAAAAGAAAGAAATAACATTACAAACATTGTCAGGATAGAAGTTGCATCTAATTCTAGAAAAAGCATTGAAATATTCTGTGTTGTAACAACAAGAGGGATAGTTAGAGAATTAAACTTTGAAAAAAGTTAAATGTGGAATACTGTTTGAATTGAGCATTTAATGGTTTAATATAGTTCTCCATAAAGAAAGCCCTGCTGCCTACCCGTTATTGTTTGGTATAACAATTTCTACTTGAGTGTGTAAAATACTGGTAGGTGGTAAGTATTTGAGTGAATATGTTTCATATCAGATGACTATATGTATAAAAATCCTTGAGTCCTAAAAGACAAAATTTACTAGTTTAAAATCTCATAACACATCATCCTGACAAACTCATGGCATATTCTTTTGATAATGTGATATATGATACACATCTTTGAAGTAAGGAAATAAACTGTCTAAACTAGAGATGAAAATTGTTTTTATTACAGTATAAGTTCACTGTATACAGTATCTCATACCTTACATTCTCAAAAAAAACATTCATAATTTTTAACTTGTCTAAAATGATTTTAAATTCATTTTTTGTTACTTTAAGAATTTATTCCCACATGCTACTTCTAATTTTGAACTGCTAAAAATGATAAGATCTCACCTTTCTCTTTTCACTTTTGAAGCTATGTAAGAGTGCTGTAGTCATTGGGATGTTCAGGGAAGTTACCGTGTGTTGGGTTTTGTGGGTGATAGTGGAATGCTAATTATAGCAGAAGTAATTATGTATATGCTATTAAGTGTTCCACCAGAGATTTGTCTGCTGCTGCCCTACATAGCTTTGAGACTTTATGTAGATCTGGGCCCTTCAGGAGAGTTACTCTAATTTCTGTTTTATAATATAGTGCTAAGAAAAAGTTGGGTTGGGTTGGTAGAGTCCTTGCCTGGATTGGATCCCAGCGCCACATAAAAACTGGATGTGATGGTGCACACCTGTAATCTCAGTAGTCAGGAAGTGGAGACAGGAGGATCAGAGGTTAGTTCAGGTCATCTTTGGCCACCTAGCAAGTCTGAAGCCAGCCTAGGATACATGAGACCTTGTCTTAGGATGGGGTGGAGGAAGGACTTTCCTTTCTCAGTATGAATGTAAAGTTTAATGTCTTATTTTTGTTGCTTTTAACAGGTTTTATATTTCCAAAGGTGCTGTGATAGATCAGTTGGGTGGTGATTTAAATTCAACTCCTCTTCACTGGGCCATCCGGTAAGATGTTTTCCAGACTGAAGTTAAACCCTATGTGACTGTGGCAGCAGGTCATAACCTTAGCTGTAGGCAGGGGAATGGGTTTCCTGTCCTTTGTCCCCTCTCTTCTTTTCAAAATAAAATACTGCTTTAGTGTTTCCAGAGAGTTGTTTAGTGCTTGATCCTGTGCTCCAGTATGATTATTAGACTCAAATGTATGGAATTTCTGTCTTAAAATGGAATGAGCATCTCTATTTAGTTCAACTGTAAACTCAGTTTCCAGCCTTTAAGAATGATTTCACTGGACAACAGTGGCTAATGCCTTTTAATCCCAGCACTTGGGAGGCAGGGGCAGGTGCATCTCTGACTATAGAGTGAGTTCCTGGTGAGCCAGGGCTACACAGAGAAACTCTGTCTTCAAAAAAGAAAAAAAGAGAGATTGGTTTCCTCTAAAAATAAAAGTAAAGAGTATCTCTGTCTTTTAAGATCAAATGTGTAACCTCCTTTGAAGTTGATGCAGGATGATATTGAGTAGGCTGGTTTATAATAGCACTTATGATGTCTAGCCTCACCATTTACTGTGTGGTACGCTGATCCTATGAAGGTGAGGGAATCAGTCTGTCTGTCTGCTTAACCCACTCTGGTTGGTGAGGTTGTAACTAAAATGAAAGGTTAATTGTTACTTCAAAGCAGAGCTTCTTTTCTCAATAGGCAAGAGTTTTGAGGAACCTAGGGATTATTCTTCTCCTTCAAACTATTGCTGTTGTTAGTTTACATGAAAATGAGCTATGTTTTGGGATGGATGGATGGATAGATAGGTAGATAGATAGGTAGATAGATAGATAGACAGACAGACAGACAGACAGATGGTTCTTTATCTGTATGTGGTTCTTAATGTTTTCACAATGTGCCCATAGTCTTAAGATTATGCTATCATATTTCTAGCTTATTACGTTTTAGTTTCTAAAACTGCAGGGTTTTAAAGTTTCCATTGTTGGCATTAGTCATTTGCTATTACTGTTTGCACATGCTATAGCAGCATAAGGTTTAATTTAGATTATGAGTTTATCAAGTTTATCATTTGCCCCAAGCATGATCATGTAAGTCTGAATTTGGAGTATTTAAATAAAAGATACTTGAAGCAGGAGAGAGAGAGATGGCTCAGTGCTTAAGAGCACTTGCTGCTCTTACAGAAGACCAGAGTTCTGTCTATAGAGTGGTTCACAACTGCCTGAAACTCCAACCCTAGGAAATCAGATGCCCTCCTCTGGCCTCTTCTGGCATGCTCACATATGTCTCTACACACCTATACATAAATAAAAATAACTCCTATTTTTTTTAAAGAGTAAGTAACACTTGTATAGCTGCCAGTATTTAAAACATCTTCCTATTAGAAAACACCCTTTCATCCAACCAGAATCCCTCGTGTCTTAGAGATGTAGTTTCTTCCCAGATATATTTTTGGTTTTCTGCATGAATTCTGCTTCTATAGGATACAGTACGTTTCGTATTTTTCTGTTTACAGACAAGGGCATTTGCCTATGGTAATATTATTACTCCAGCATGGTGCAGACCCCACTCTGATTGATGGAGAGGGATTCAGCAGCATTCATCTGGCAGTCCTGTTTCAGCACATGCCTATCATAGCTTATCTCATCTCGAAGGGACAGGTATGTTTTGAAATGTCCCTTATAGTCTAGGTTGTGTGATATGAAGATACTGGGAAGGTTATTGGCTGTTGTCTACCCTAAGTTTTAAACTGGAAGTTAATGGATGTCTAGATACTCAGAATTAACCTTAGTAAGTCAACCTAGCTGTTCAGCACTGGTTTTTTTGGCTTCATTAGAAGGAGGAAGACAGGTTATTTTAGCTCAGCATCATTTAATGTTTCTGAAACTTGTAAGCCTGTAATAGTTTTTCTGACAAGACCAGTAATTTTCAAGGCTTTTCAGAAACATGACCTCAAAGCCTGTATTTTTCTTCTGCTTGAGTGTAGAAATGGTAGTCAGATCACTATTAACCCATGGTTTACTTTCATTATTTGGGCTCAAATGGGGGCTAATTTGAATGTGTGCGTCTTTGAGTAATTCCATGAAAATGACGTCCTTCAGAGCACAGGTTAAATTATAGGCCATCAGCAGTGGGAGTTTCACTGTTAGCTGTGCTTGCTGGAGTGTGTTCTCTGACACCAAGGTGGTTAATGTGTTAGCAGTCTTGTCTGGAATGGGAGTGGAAACGTGTTTGCACAAATGCCACTGATTCGATTATTCTCCCTCTATAAGCACTTTATCTCAGACAGCCCAATGAAGTAAGATAATTATAACCTCCCGGGCTTCATTTTGGAAAGATGCATGAGAAGGGAGACCTTTGTGTTCTGTCTCTCCGGGGTCTTAAGAACCCCCGTAAACTCTCTGTTTGGTGGGCGCCACTCTTGTACCTCATCCCTGGCCGTTTTGTGAAAGACCGCAGCCTTCATAAAGAGTTTGGAGTTTTTCTTACTTAACTGTGTGAAGCGAGTGCAAAAAAATAAAGTGACTCTGAAGATAGGTAACTCACTGTTATTGGATGAATGTTAGCATGAATCCATGTGTCAAGGCTTCAATGAGATGACTTCAAGATCTCTTTGTCATTTTGGTGGTGATTGTCAGCTATTTTCCTTCCACATCTTAGAACACTTTATATCATATATTCAGATTCTCCCTCTAAAATGTTATGGATTTTTACCGTGTAAAAACAAAGCACTTTTTCTTTTTTGAGCTTAAATGGTATTTGAGCCATTTTTGTAGAACAGTAATGGGACCCAATGTGTCAAAGAAGTGTTTATTTACTAAGAAATGCAACTTTTTTACTGTGTTCACATTTTTGCTAATTGAGTCGTTTTTAACTAGAGTGTGAATATGACAGATGTCAATGGCCAGACGCCTCTCATGCTATCAGCTTACAAAGTAATTGGGTAAGTGTTACTGGATCCCCTCATTCTGCTTCCTGGTTCCTATGAGTTTTCTGTAAATAAAATCTTAGGTATCTTGTCCTGTGAAATGCTGAAGATTTTAATAGCTGTACACCATTGAAGGACTTTCTTTTCTCTTGGTAGCTTTGATGAAAAGTTTGAAAGTTTACAGAGTTAGTATTCCTTAGCATATGCTATTTCTTTTGAACCTGAAAAGATGACAAATTTAAATGTTCTCATAATCACAAATCTCTATGATAAACTCACTTTACTGAAAGCAGTGAAATTAAGGCTCTCTGCTGTTGCTGGCTGCTCTGAAGACACTGATAGAGCTGATGTGACAAGATTCTCATCATATACATATTCATAAACACATACTTAATGCTCACCATGTGGTCAGCTATCATTATTCCTTGTACACACAGGCGTGTTAAAGTTTTCTCATTAACAGTTTGTTTCTAAGGTTGTACTGAATCCCCAAGTCTGCTTCTCCTTGACACACCTCCTGCTGGAGCTGGATTTGTTGTAGAACCATTTTTCTGGTTTTCTTTTTATATAGAGATGGGGCTAACAGGTAGGATTTTGCTAGAAATTTTGCTAGAGCTTAATAGAGTAAGTAAAGTCAGGTCTTGTTCTTATTGGGTAGATCTCTTGAAGGAAAGGAAAGTATTAATAAAAAAGAAAAGTATTTCATTGAATTGTTTTCTTGATAATCAACTTTTTTGTTTGTTTGTTTGCTTTGAGACAGGGTTTCTCTGTGTAGCCCTAGCTATCTTGAAACTCACTCTTCAGACAAGGCTGACCTTGAACTCAGAGATCTGCCTGCCTCTGCCTCTCAAGTACTGGGAATAAAGGTGTGCACCACCACCATCCAGTTTAGTTTATCACTTTCTAAATGTACTAATATTTTAAGAAATTGAAGTTGAGATTCCTAATCTTGGCATTCTAAGTCCTAAATGTTTAAAATCTGATTTTTTTTAGATAACATAATGTCTGTATAAGTTGAGTATTACTAATCTCAGAATTCTGAGTCCCAAATGTTCAAAATCCAAATTTTTTTTAGACAGCATGATATCTTAAATAGAAAATTTCACAACATACATAATGCAAATAATCATTAAAATGTAACTTTAAACTATACAAATGATATATATGAAACAAGTGAATTTCATTTTAGATTTGCTGCTTGTCCTTAAGGACTAGCAGATATCCTAAAGTATCTACTCCCCCCAAAACAAAACACAAGATTCCCAAGCATTTTGGGAAAGAGATATTCAGCCTGTATTTACACCTGTTTTACCTAGTTGATAGAAAGAGAATGTAAAGGTAGATTTTAGTTTTTCTGCTTAAGTAAGACATACAATTAGTGTTTAATTGTATACCATTTCATATTAGCCAAGGTTAAATTGACAGTTTTAAAAATATTGATTACTAACTAGAACAACAACATGAAGAGAACTTCCCTCATCCCCTGTATTGCTATCCAAATTATGTCATTGATGCAGCAGGCTACCATTTAAGAGCTGTCTTTCTTGTTTGTTTGATCTTCCCTGCCTGTAACTAGACTAGAACTAGTCATTTGCTAATACTGTTTGCACATGCTATAGCAGCATAAGGTTTAATTTAGATTGTGAGGTTATCAGGTTTATCATTTGCCCCAAGCATGATCGTATAATTTTGAATTTGGAGTATTTAAACAAAAGACATCTGGAACTGGAGAGAAAGATGGTTCAATGCCTAAGCGCACTCGCTGCTCTTACAGAAGTCTAGAGTTCTGTCTTAGAACCCACTATAGAGTGGTTCACACTGCCTGCAACTCCAGATCTAGGAAATCAGATGCCCTCCTCTGGCCTCGTCTGGCATGCTCACATATGTCTCTACACACCTATACACAAATAAAAATAGCTCCTATTTTTTTTTAAAGAGTAAAAGACACTTGTATAGCCTCCAGTATTCTAGTTCTTCAGAATGGTTACTTGATAATTGATACACTAACCTTAAAACTTCTCCGTTTGCATTTTCTCCCCACATCTTCATCTCTTCATCCCTACTAATGCCTTGTGGTATTTTTGCTGTTTTGACACAGGCCAGAACCGACTGGATTTCTTTTGAAGTTTAATCCCTCTCTCAGTGCTGTTGACAAAACACATCAGAACACTCCACTTCACTGGGCAGTTGCAGCAGGAAATGTCAGTGCAGTTGATAAGCTGTTGGAGGCTGGTTCTAGCCTGGACATCCGAAACGCTAAGGTAGGACCTGGTATTGTCTTCCCTGGTTCATTGTATCTGCAGTTAAAGATGAGTACTTAAGCTGCTGGTAGCTATTCATTTGGGTTTTAGATACCACAAGATAAAATATTGACAATAATAGCTACTGTTAGAATAAATGTGTTGAGTCTGTTATTCTAATAAAAAAGTGTTTTAATACCTGTGCCGTATCAAAAAAATGTAAATGTAATTGTTTGGTTTTTGTTTTTAAGGGAGAAACACCTCTTGATATGGCTGTACAAAATAAAAACCAGCTTATTATTCACATGCTAAAAACAGAAGCCAAGATGAGAGCCAACAAAAAGTTTAGGCTTTGGAGATGGCTACAGAAATGTGAGGTATTCTTTGTGATAAAACTTTTTGTTAGCTTTTGTTTTTAGGGCAGCAGAAGAGATAGAGATTAAACTTTGACTGTGTTGCAGTGGATCTGCTAATGGTATTTTTCCCACGTATCCCACAGCCCAAAGAAAGAAATATGGCATTTCACTAGTTGTTTAACATTAATATGTTACCTGGCGGATATCTGCTAATTACTTAAGGAATTAATTGAAATGTAAAATGGGTTTGATTCTTAGAGTGGCACCTGCTTGACCCCAGTTCGGGGTCTAGTAGACATTTACAATAGGAGGTATCAAAAACTGGCGTCCTTCTCCTGCCCCCCTGTGACTAAGCCTCCTGATCCCCTTGAGGAGTGGCTTCTTTCTCATCCGTCATGGAGTGTGCTGTCAGTCATCTCCTGTGTCCGTGCTGGTGTGCTTCAGGCTGGTTCTGCTGACAGTTTGTCTCTAGAGCCTGCTCTCATCACTTCGCTAATGCCACATCAGGCCAGCCCCATTAGTCTCCGTGTACTTTTATTTTCCTATTGAACATAACTTTTTTTTTGAAGACTTAGCCAATATTTCCTTTTTTAATTTAACTTTTTACGCATATTTCTCCCAGTTCCCTCTCCCTCCCCTCCTCCCGCGGCCCCCGTCCCACTCTATCCCCCCTCCGCTCCCCAGGGAGGGTAAGGCCTTCTATGAGGGATTTTCAGAGTCTGTCATATCATCCTGGGCAGGGCCTAGGTCCTCCCCAGTGTGTCCTGGCTGAGAGAGCATCCCTCCATGTGGAATGGGCTCCCAGAGTCCATTTGTATGACAGGAATGAATACTGATCTATGCTCCAAGATTCCATAGGTTGCCAAGGCCTCCTCCCTGATACCCAGCTTTGGAGGTGGGGATGGAGGGTGTCTGGATCAGTCCCACGCTGGCCTCTCAGTCATCAGTCTGGGGTTCGTGCATTCCCCTTTGTTTAGGTCAGCTGTCGCTGTGGGTTTCATCAGCCGGGTCTTGATTCCATTGCTCATCACTCCTCTTTGCAACTGGGTTCCAGGAATTCAATTTAGGTTTTAGCTGTGGGTGAACATAACTTTTTTTTTAACTTAGCAATTCCTCTCTATAGTGTTCTGAAGTGAGCTAAACAGTAAAATATGGTTTAGGAACTTCAGCTTGCTTTCATAAAAAGAAAACCAAATCATGCTGGGAATTGGTGGCACACGCCTTTAATCCTAGTACTTGGGAGGCAGAGGCAGGCAGATCTCTGTGAGTTTGAGGCCAGCCTGGTCTACAGAGCGAATTCCAGGACAGGCTCCACAGCAATATCCTGTCTCAAAAAAAAAAAAAAAGAAAGAGAAAACTAAGCCATAGTTATGAATATAATTCACACTGATAAAATGGGTACTGGGTTAATTAATGTTTTTGTTCTCAAATATGATAGTCGCTTTAGCAGATGCAAGATTTTTACATGGAAAATCACTGTGAGTGCTATGCTGAGTTTTCAGTTGGAGTAAAGAAAGATGTTACTCACCAACTTCTTAGGAATAGCAATGCCAAGATTCTGTCCTAGGAAACTTTTCTACCTATTCATCCCCTGAATGACATTTGCATCTTGACATCCCCCAAATTTCTCTCTGCAGCATAGACCATCTGGATTACTAAACTAAATGACCTGTTGTGCACATCCAATCAGTGTCCAATGGACATTGCAGTCTAGCACATCAGGATGTATCCAGTAGGCATGTGCAGTGTGGGACACCAGAACCAGAGCTCCCACTCTCTTCCTTCTCCCCACTCCCCTCATCTCGCACATCTCGGGAGGTAGCACTCCAGCTTCCTGCTCTGTCCATCTGACCCCATGTTCGCATTGGAATGGTTCTGCTTGACCCTGCCTCACTTTATATATGAAATCTGCTTCCTTCTCAACACGTCACCAATGCACAATGCTGTTAGTCCTGCAGATGAGCACTTGAAAATATAAGTCAGATTCCTAGGTATCTCCCCATTCTCCTGTAGTAAAAGCTAAATCCCCACAGTCGCCTGCTGTCTTAGTTAGGATTTCTATTGCTGTAATAAAATACCATAAGAAAAAGCAACTTGCAGTGGGGTGAGTTTATTTGCCTAACTTACTCTTCACAGTCCTTCACCAAAAGAAGTCCTGGCAGGGACTTGGGGTAGGAAACTGGTGGTAGCAACTGGTACAGAGGCTACGTAGGTGTGCTGCTTATTTCCCTTGTTACCTTCACTTGCTCAACCTGCCTTCTTATGACATACAGGAACACCTACCCAGAGCTGACACCACCCACAGTGGGCTGGGCCCTCCCATTTCAGTCATCAGTCCTAAAAATGCCCCCACAGGCTTGTCGCTATACCCAGGGAAAAACAAAACAAACAAACAAAACAGATTCCCTCCCCTCAGCCTTCATCCCGTCTCCATCCCCACACTGCACCCCACCCTCTCTCTTTCTGCTTCTGGAACACGAATGAGGGCATTTTCTCAACTTAGGTTCCCTCTTCCCAAATAGTTAGTGTCAAGTTGACCTAGAAGTAGCTAGCACACCTGCAAAGCGTCACACGTTCCAGATTTTTATGTGCTTTTACATTTCTGTTTGTACTCCCTCCCGGGATTTCAGTTTCATGGGTGGGGAACAAAGAAGGCTGCCCAGTTCATTGTCTCCCCTGTGTGGAATAGCTTGTACCCAGGGTCCCCAGTGAATAGATAGTGTAACTCATGTAGAAGACTATTAGGTTCGAGGGTTACAGTTGTCATATCCACATTTCTATAGGGTCTACTTTATTCTCGTCAGTAAGTAAAAACTGCAAACTTTGAAGACTCGGTGCCATTTGAAATTATCTTACTCCCTGAATGGCTTGCAGGAGTAAAAATGGAAGAAAATAAGGCAAAGTGCATTTTTCCTCTTTGCTGTTTGAAAAGCTAGCTTTCTGGGGACTTGCACTCACGGCACTGAGGTGTTCCTTTACGGAGCCCAGTACTACAGCTGGCTCGGGGTTTCATTCCTTTAACTTTGTCAGCATTAGCTGAATCATTAGCATTCTGAAGAAATAGTTCAGTCTTTGACCCCCTGAGTACCAAGACTTCCTCCTTTTTTTCCCTGCTTCTCTTTCCCAGGTTTTCAGCATGGCCTTCCATTCAGTCTTTCTTGGTTACTTTGGGGAATTAGCTTTGTTCTTGACCTTGAATGCTTGGGTTGGCTAAGATTCTACTCCTTCTGCCTTTCCAGTCTTGGGGAAGTTGCTAATTTACAGCTTTCCCACCTCTGTGCAGATAAATCCCAAGACTTTGACAATCATAGCTCTGTTGTACAGACTGCCTCCTGTGTCTCCCTTGGGTGTCCATAGCCGTTCACAGTTCCACATGCTCCAAATCAAGCTCTTCCCTTTCAGAACTGTTTCTCTGGAATTCTTAGTGAGGTCATACCAGGCTGGGTTCAAGGTACAGTGACTATAGCCTTTTAGCTTAGTCTGATTGTACTGATTTTTGTAGTCCCTTCAGTTTATTGTTAGTGTGCAGAGTTCTAACTAAAAGAAATTACCAAGATTGTCTCTAAAGTATATAAGTCAATCGTATTTAAATTTGAAGAAAATTTGCTAGTTGGGTTAAGTTGTTGTTCTGTACTTAGGAAGTGGTTCTTGTACTTACAGAACTGATTATCGTTAGGAGGTGTGATCCGCAAAGTTCTAAAACTCTGATCTCTCAATAGCTCTTCCTGCTGCTGCTACTCTCTGTGATCACCCTGTGGGCTGTTGGATACATCCTGGACTTCAATTCAGACTCTTGGCTTTTGAAAGGATGTCTTCTAGTAGCATTGTTTTTTCTGACATCTTTATTTCCAAGGTGTGTATACTTGTCTTTGCAAGGCTGGTTATTGCATTTCCAATGTAATTGCCTATTTCTGTTCTAAATCAGCTGGGATCCCAGACTGGTGTTGAGTTACACATATTACCTAACCATATGACAACATCCTCAGAATGGTAGAAAAAGAGGGGTTTGCTGACATAGCTTTGGGCTGAAAGCAGACAATTGGTGGAAAATAAGTGTTGTGGGTCATACATCATATCATTCAGTTTGACAGTGATAGAGAAAGATTTGTAACCATTTTATGTCTGGAAGCATTTTACCCATTTTTCACATTTTTTTTCTCTTAACTCCTAAATTCATTTTGTACTGATTATTTTTCTGCTTGATAGTTTTTAGTTGAAGCAACCTGAATATAATAGGGAAGGTGTTGAAACAGTAAATACACTATAGCTCTCTTTAAAAATCTCACACACAGAGAGAACTAGACATGATTATACTGATGGGTCAGATATACTGCCTGGATCCAGGTTTAGCTTTAACACACACCAGTTGGATCTGAAACAAGCTGCTCTCCTCTGCCTCAGTTTCTTTATCTGTAAGTGAGGATAGTTGTGATGATACCCACTTCGTGGCTTTGGATGTAAATATTTTGCACAATGGCTGGCACACCGTCTGTACTTGTAGTCACTCGTGTCACATCCCAGTCTCCTCCCCAATTCCCCACCTTAGTGACAAGGTGTCAGTTCCTCACACTAATGGGGGTGTCATCCTTGATTAACCCCTTGCCTTCACTCCTAACCCTTAGCCCTTCGTAAGTACTTCCTGCCAAGCCTCCTGGCTGGTATACCCCCACGTAACAGTCAATGCAGATCCATTTCTGCCTGGTTTTCTTGTTAAAATCCCCTTTAAAACTTGTTGTTATGCTCAGGGAAAAACAAAACAAGATTCCCTCCCCGCAGCCTTCAGCCTGTCTCCATTCCCACACTGCACTCCACCCTCTCTCTTTCTGCTTCTGGAACACCAGCTTCTTCCCTGAGCCTCGCTGGTGCCCCGACCGCAAGTGTTTTGACACTGGATCATTTTGTAGCTGAAGAAGTCTCTTAGGCTGGGTTCAGACACCACCCTTTGTGGAGCCATCCTGACACAGGTCTGCTGCATCACTCATTTTCCTCTCTTCCTAGCAACTGCCTGTAACAGAAAGCCCACAAAAGTATAGTTTGTCTCTGCTGCTGCTGAACATTTTCATTCGCTGAGTGATAACCATCTCTAGGAAGGATCTGGAAGACAGTGCATCCTGCCAGCTAAGACTGTAAATGTGCCTGCCCCAGAGGCCTTTTGCTGCCTGCACTTTCTAGAATAACCATGCACTTTTTTTTTTTTTTGTCATAAGAAAAGCAGTGTTAGAGGAATCTTCACATAGTCACCCAAAGACCAGGATCATTAGGTGGAAACAGATCAGAATTTAAATGTGAAATACGAGTTCAAAGTTCTGAAAAATAACAGAATACCTAAAATTGTCTGATTCAGAAACGTGACTTAGAAAATACTCATTTTTTACTGGATATTTGAATACTTTTTTAGCCAAACTAGCAGGAATCAGTCATTAGATTTTTTTTAAGATGCAACAAGGGCTTACCCAACAATTCGTGCTTACCCACAACAGAAACATTTTGTTTAGTTATTTGAATGTTTTTATTAAAATCCAAATTATTAGAAAATTGTTGTCTGGACAGCTTAACTTCGTGAGGTCTTCAGTCACTATGATTGGCATGGGAATACATTTCAGATATGAGTCAGATGCATGTGGCAGGTTGATCTGCTGCCCTATTTTCCTCCTATTCCTCTGGAGTTTCAGTTTTATGGAGGTGAGCAGCTGCACATTTCTGTTGTTATTTGGCTTGAGGAGTGGTTGCTTCTTGATCTAGGCTCCTGTGTGACACCTGTCAGAAACAACAAGCCCTTGTGGATTTGGCAGTTCGTTGCACTATTTTACCAGACCAAGTGCACCTTTTTTTCCCTGAAGATCTTAGTTCAGTTGCAGTAGACTCCGTTTTTACCTGTTGTAGCACACGTACCTGGCGCCTCAGGCTGAGGTCCTTGGTTCTTCTCAGATAGGCTTTCATCCTACTTGTCTATGGTCATTGTGGCACTTTTTTCTTTTAACTAAACAACACTTGAGATGCTCCTGTCGTAGGCACCAGTTGCCAGCCCTTGCTTACACCTCACTCCCCCTCAAACACACTTTTTTAACCCACTAGTAGCCATTTCTGATAAGAATCCTAAGATGTATTTAGGTAGAGTATTTTTGTTTATAAGATGTCTATATTGAGTTTGATGTGGAAGACGTTTCCATGTATTACTTTTGAAACTACAGTATTAGCCTTTTGAACAGATTACACAAGAACATCAAGCTGTGTGCTGTGGGGCTGAGATTGTAAGTGCTGTGGTGACTACTGTCGTTTTAGCTATTACGTATTTTCACATTGTGACTGCTCCTCAAGCTAGCTCATGGTTAAGGCTTTGAGCACCTGCTATTTCATAAACATAGACTTGCCCTCTTGACAAAAGCTTGCTTACAAATGAAGGTAAATTTCCAAGTATTTACAGTTTTGCATTCTGGTACATTTCAAAATTACATGAAAATACAATCTAATATATTACAGTAGAAATACAGAATATTCACTCAAATGTGTTGTCATGGATGAAATAATTATGAGGAGCTGGCTGAGAGGAGCTGTAATGTATGCTTTTGGAAGGTTATTTACAGTTCTCTCATGTGAAAAATTGAACTGATACATAAGCAGTCTGGAGAAGCTACTGCTGCTGCTATGATTTGCCGTTGTTACTGAGGAATCAGAACTGATTTGACATGAATCATACCAATACTTTACTGCACTAACACCTTGTGTTTGCTCTCCCCCCCCAGGTTTTTGGTTGGCTATAAGAACCTTGTGTACTTACCAACGGTCTTTCTGCTGAGCTCCATTTTCTGGATATTTATGACTTGGTTCATCTTATTCTTTCCTGATATCCTTTAAGCTTCAATGAAGTACAATTTTGTTTTACTTTCAAAAATCAGTAATGCCATTGTTAGCAGCTTATATAGTGGGGAAAAATATCTAAGGATAGTGGGGAAAAAAATCTAAGGGATGCAACTTGTATTTGCACTCACACACTGATTTTGTCTGAGCTTAATGTTGAATATACTTGATTCTGTTAAATCTACTTGGTGCTATGCAGACATTAGTCTCTAGTATTCTTCCTTCCAGGAGAATGACTACAGAACGCATATTGCTTTGCTTGGGCCCATAGCCATATGATGGTGTTTTGAGATACTTGAAGGTCAGATGGCTCTTTTAACTCAGTCAGCAGTTACAATTGGTAAATAAGTCTCCTGGGTACCAAAATTGACTATGTGGGAGAGATTTGGGAAAATATGGTCCTCGGTAATGCTAAGCAATTCAAAGCTAATGACTCAGGCAGGGATCCTCAACAACATTAAATGTGCTTTGAGTAGGTGTGAAACAGATTTCAAGAAAACTACTTCTAATGTGTACTTTATCACGTTTTGTCCTTGGTCCTCTAAAAATTTAAGCCATGGCCCACTTTATTTTTTTATGGCCTACTTGTGTGGCTTCAAATGGAAAATGCATCTTATATCTAGTAAATATGTTTATTACATGAAGACAGGGACCCGGGTCTAAGTCCAGTTCATGGTCCTCTGGTCCTCTTGAGAGTGACCAGATTCAGTCACCTAGAAGTTGAAGAAGGATTGTTCTTTGGATTATATCCATCTGTAACACCATACACATGTCCAGGCTTCCATCTCTTTCCAGACTTCCTTCTCTCTTTCCTGTGAAACTGTTATAATTCTGCTTATGTGCCAGGGAAAGAGGAAGTATGGTGGGAAGAAATGTGCTTTTTAGCTTATTGCCTTACTTTCTGTGTCTGTGTGTCTTTCTGGTAGCATTTCTGAAAGAAAAGACTAGAGTGCTTATCGAAGAAATGCAAAGGAGAGATTTAAGAATGTTTCCCACAGGAATAAATGGGATGGGCATATGAGTTTTCAGAGTGCATACATCTACAGCCATCATGCCATGGTTTTGATTTAAGAATCTTTCCCACAGGAATAAATGGGATGGGCATATGAGTTTTCGGAGTGCATACATCTACAGACATCATGCCATGGTTTTGCTTTACTGCTGCTTTATTATTTCTAATGTGGTTTGTTTTCCTTTAACCTAAGTGAAAGGTATAAATACTATAGATGTCAGTAGACTTTTAAAAAAGCTACCTCTAATCTTGGTCTTGCAGTTACTGATTTGATAAGGATTTTGATTAACACTAGCTTTCTTATCACCATTTAAGGACAGCATAGTTTCTACCACATCATTCACAGATGACCCAGTGCTCATAGATGCTAGGACAGTGGACTGAAGGGGAATGATTCATACTTTCGTGTCAATGAATAGTTTTTGAAATTGTGGTTTTTGATGAATTTTTAAAATATAAGCAACTTCAGTTATTCCAGATTTTAAATTATTTTGGTTTTACAAACTCTGAAACTAATAAGACATATAACCCCATTATAGTCCATCAACTTCATTTGCAGAAACTAATTCTCACTTGACTGTAACTAAGACCTGCTTGATACTTGTGAAGGTATATTATGTTAGGAGAATTGGTTTTCTTACGAGATAGAATCTCAAGGTGTCAGAAGGAACACAGTATCACTCACATGTGGAACAGGCCCCGGTTTGAGCATGCTGCTGTGAAGGCATGCGGGCCAGTAGGTGGCATACCTCACCCAAGGCTAGTGTTTTCCAGGATGACTGTCATATGCTGCTGGAACTGCCCTGTGGGTTTGCTGCTGCTTAGCCTTGTAAAGACCTCACCCAAATGCTCAGGGTGCCAGTTAGGATTGACCAGGGGCTTCTGCCCCACTGCCTGTGATTATTATGGGAAGAGAGTCAAGAGTATTGTGGAAAGCATATTGTCCTTGTTATTGGGCAGTATGGTTCCGAATTTCAGGACCTCTTGTTTGTTTCAGATGAGGTCATACTTTGTAGTCCTAGCTGTCCTGGAACTTGCTGTGTTGACCAGGCTGGCCTCACTGAGAAACATCCCCCTGAGTGTTCAAATTACAGACATGCACTACTGACTCAGTGTAAAGGCTGGTTTTCCTCCCTGTCAGGGATTTGAACCCCGGTCTCACACAAGATAGGCAGGGATACTAGTAAGTGTGTCCTTTTCTTTTTATTACTATGTACCATTGGGCAAGTTACTTGACTTCACCAAGTCTGTTTTTCTGTCTGTTGGGGACAGCAGTACCTAGCTCTTAAGATGGCCATAAGGGCTGTGCAGAGTCCCCATTACATAATTGGTATTTATAAATAATACCTTGTGTCACAACTCAGTGCTCTTTTTCTTTAGGTCTCTTTTATGTGTTTAGTAAGTAATGTATTTGGCTTTTATGAGAGGGACTGGATGAAAGGAAAGAGAGCTTTAATAATGATTCAAGCTACAATTAAAACTTGGTTAAAGAAATGATGAACCACTGAATGCCTCCTTTGTGATACTGGCCGTACTTAAGTCTAAGAGCTGGATATGTGGTAAGCCCTCTTGGTTTCAGTCAGCTTTCGATATGACTTATTTTTAGATCAAGTAGCAGAGAATCAGGAGCTTGCTTTGCTGATACGTGCCTATGATTCCAGCACTTGTGAAATGAGATAGGAGAATGGAAAGTTTGAGGCTAGCCTGAGCTACCCAATGAGTTCAGGTCAGCGCAAGCCCCTGTGTTTGATATTTAACACAAGACAGAGAGGAAGAGAAGAAGAAAGGAGGGAAGGGAAACTTGGGAGCTTTGAATGAAGGCTCAGTATGACTAGTGACTGAGCTGTCACAGAAGCAGCCCTACTCTGATGTAGTAGTCCAAGGTCTTGAGTGTCCAGGCAGAGGACAACAGCTGTCCTCTGAAGTGGTCAGTACTTGCCCAAAGCATGTTGCCCTCTTGAATTCTATTCTTTTGGAGAAAAGGGTAAATCACACAAGCAAAGGAGCATGACCAGTAAACTGGTATGTAAGGAACAATATTGCTGCTATTCTGGAGATGGTGTCACTGATTCCCAGTTTCACATGCTGGGAGATGGTCATTTGGAATGACATTGTCATTGTAATGCCATTAAAAAACAAATGTATTAAACAAATGCAGGAGTAAGCTTATGTCAGGTAAATCTAAAAGACAGCAGTGGTGTAGAATGCAGAATCCAAGGGATGAAGCCAGGTAGCCATGTTCTAGGAGAGCAGGTTTTAGCCCTGCATCTCCAGTAGAGTCAGCAGCTTACAAGGGAAGCCAGCACATCTGCAAATACCTATATATATTCTTAACTCTAAGTGCCTTAGAGAGCATCCCTGGGTTCAGGAAAAGCTGAAGTCTTTCTACAGATCTGAAAGGACAAGCAAGAGAGAGGAGGAAGTGAGTCTTGAAGGCAGTTAGGATCGGACATCTGAAAAGTATGGCTTCAGTAGTAAGAGGTGGTGGAGAGTGTTTGTGGTTACCACGGAAGTAAGGAATCTGTTTGCCACTCGTGTGAGGCCTTTATTTGGGAGAGGGAACCCAGTGATGCTTCTATACTTGTCTTAAAGTTGGAGTGGAAGCACCGAGTTCAGTCAGCTTACTCTGCAGGACTACCCCATGACTGAACCAAATGAATCTTGAGGCTGTAACATGTAAGTTATCAGGACTTGGTGGAGAAAAGCTGCATCTAATTTTTAACAAAAAGTCATCTCTTGTGTATCATGTAGAAGTGTTCCTCTTCATGCAGTGTAAGCTTTGTTATAATTCCATTTCATACACCTTATCTGGCCTCTATCCATTTCTTAAAGCCGGCCCCAGTTATATATTAACTGTGATAAACTGTCTTGATTAAGGCTGCTGTTGCTGTGATAAAATGCCATGACCAAAAGCCACTAGGGTGGGACAGGGTTTATTTCGGCTTTTAGCTTGTTGTCCATCTTGCAGGGACATCAGGGCAGGAACCTGGAGTCAGGAACTGCTCCAGAGGCCATGGAGGAGCTGTTCATTGCCTTGTTCAGCCTGTTTTCTTATAGTACCAGGACCACCTGCGTTTCTCTGGGTAACAGCATAGAAAGCAGGGCCCTCTCCCCTCAGTCATCAATCAGTGCGCCACAGGTCAGCCTGGTGGGGACATTTTCTCAGTGGAGGTTCTCTCCAAATGACTGATTTGTTGGCATAAAATTAGCTGGCAGAGTCAGCCAACAGGAGTTGCTCTGCCTGTCTGCATCAGGAGTGTTTGTGCTAGTCTCTGGGTTAGGTCATTATTTCTCAAACTTTATTATGGGATGAAGCCCATGAAGAGCTCCTTAAATCCAGTCTAGTGCTGTCAGTGTGAACCAGTTGGAAGTAGGCCTTAGCTGCCCGCCTCTGCCTTCTGCCTTCCCTTCCTGCCCATTCTTTTTCTCTTCCCTCTTTCTTTCTCTCCCTCCCCACTTTCTTTCCATTTAGTTTCACTTCTGTTTGATCTTTGAGATAGTGTCTTACTAAGTAGCTCAGACTAACCTAGAACTGCCTCTGTAGCCTAAGTTGGCCTCAACTCAAAAAACTCCTGCCGCAGCCCCTCCATGTGTTAGCAGTCAGCTCAAAGCAGTTTTTCCTACAAGCCAGTGTTGCTGGTCGGTGGACCATTCTTTGAATAGTAAGAGTTGAGAATCTGTTTTATGGTCTCCTTTTCTGTTCTCAAGTTAACACAAGGTAGCTTGGTAGCACCGTGTAAGGCAATAGTTACTGTGTCAAGCCAATATGCTTACATTGGACATGGTCAGGGTTACTGCTGTCTAATTGACTTATTACTACATACTCATTCTTCTCTATATTTTAAAAAAGTTTGTAGTCTTTGCAATCCTTCTCAGCATAAACTTACTCATATTTTCAGTAGTATGTAATCTGTACTCATTTTACAAGGAGGGCAATTTTTAATTCAGAACAGTTTGAAGGGACAGGGTACTAAACTCTCTAGTGGGAAACTCACACAGATAATTGTGTACTTTACAGGAAAGTACATTGAAATCTCTACCCAAGTCTTGTGTTTCTTTGAATGATCTTATGAAAATTATCTGAGAAAAGCCAGTTATACCTTGAGAAGTTAAATTTGGGAGACTTGGAAGTTTTTCAGATGACAGCATTCAAAATGGTCCTCAATAATGAAGAAGCGACAGTTTTTACCAAGAGCAGACATCTGTAGGATTGGAAACATGGAACAGGGCCACTTTGGGTGGGTGGTATGTGTACACAGGGAAATTGGGGACAGATTGCAGGAAAGGTTCGTGGGAACAATGATGGTGTTTGTTTACATCACACACGATGCTTTTCTTGGATATGTTCCTTAGCATGACTGTAACATGTAGCAGGCAGCCCTTTCTACTTTATTTTCATTTTCAGCATCATAGCCTTTCTCTATTTTTTCTACAAGACGTGGGCAACTGATCCAGGCTTCACTAAGGCTTCTGAGGAAGAAAGGAAAGTGGTGAGTCTTTTTTAATTATATCTTTTTCTGAGAGTCACAGCCATGTTGGCTTTTGGTACGGCTATATCTGTAGTGCCTGCTGCTTAGTAGGACAATGTAAATGTGAACTGATTAGATCATCAAAATGGGGTTCCTGCACACTTCAAGTTTTTAGAAACATCTATTTTCTGTATATGTGATAGATACCCTACCAAACCTTTTCAGAGTTGACATCTGTTATGGGTCTCCCACTTGATTACACTTTTAGATTAGTGCCCTCTGTCTGGAGTGTCTACCTCCATGGAGTCACGATGCTGTAGTGGGTTCTTCCTCCCTAGTAGCTGAGGAGATAGCTCCTTTTCTCCTTCAGATCTTGGAGCCATCAGTTTGGGTGCTTGTCCATGAACTCTGTTTTTGATGAGTGTGTGTGTGTGTGTGTGTGTGTTCCTTCCTTTGTCATAGCAGGCTGTAACTGGTAGCTACATGCCATTTGTAGGTGGTAAGGAGTGTGAGTGTACAATTTTTATGCAGCCAGATTTCTTAGCTGCTGCATGAAAGAACACCTTGAATAGTTACATTATTTCAAGAACAGAGTGGTTGGGTAGGGAGTATTCCAAACTGCTGTTCTGGCTACTTCTGAAGGTGGAGGGAAAGCTATGAGAATGAATGGCACATAACCATGCATTGCCCTTTCCATTGCACGCTAAGGTCAGATTCTTGTCTTTCAGAATATTGTCACCCTTGCAGAGACTGGCTGTCTGGACTTCAGAACATTTTGCACATCATGTCTTGTGAGTCTCTTCTGTTACTACTTTGTTTTCCATAGTACGGGCAAATTCTTAGTAGCACTGCTTATGTAGTAAGCATTTGTCAGATCTTCATGGCATATGTATGCACTTTTGTTTTTTCCCTGGCTGTAATTTTGTATTACTCTCAGACCAGTTTTCCACCGTGAGCATATGAAAGAATATTTATCATCTCATGAAGCTCCCTGTGGTTAGTCTCTTTGTAAATTATCCATGGTGCTTTTATTTGCTTGTCCTGTCATGAAGTGTATGTTAGAATTCATTGTAAATCAGAGACACCTTATTGTCATCTCAAAATGACAAACAGGAAGCTCCTATTTTGCAGTTGAGTTGAGCCTTAGAAGAAGAGACTAAATGATTGGAAGAGCCGGGAATGGAACTGAGATTTCCATTTTCTTACTCCAATGCTCATGCTGAATGTGTCACTGCCTGAGCTTTCCTTAGCCAGTATGAACAGTGTCTGAGTTCAGATCTCTTCCAGTGAAGGCTTATCTCTGCCATATGCAGAAGTAAATATCAATAAGACCTTTCAGAGCTTATGTGTGAGTATGTCATCTAGTTAGGCTTATTTATGCCAGTCTTCTGTGACATGAGATTAAAGTTTTGCTATGATCTGTTACCAAAGACTGTTTTTGCTTAGCCTCTCTTAATTGCCCTCAGATAAGGAAGCCTTTAAGGTCACTCCATTGCCATGTGTGCAACTCTTGTGTGGCTCGATTCGATCAGCACTGCTTCTGGACTGGACGCTGCATAGGTGAGAGACTCAAGTCTGCTATCTGTGTGATTAAGAAGGAAATGGAAAGCCACCCAACGCCTCTTCAAGAGTCTTTGCAGCTAAGACTTTAGGAAATGATTAGCAGATTGTTAATGAAAGCTTTTGTCTTGTCATTTGTACAGTATTTTAGAGTTTATGAAATGATCATCAGAGTATACCTGTGAGGTCGTTGTTACTGTTTACTTTTCAGGGCAAAGAGTGTAAATAATGCAGATCATTTTGTAGTATTTGTTTTCCACTCCAAATGTCACACTCTTTTCTTATGTTGTGACTTACCTTTCTTACTTACCTCCTCCACCTGCCTTCTTCAGTGCTCAGGTAGGAGACAGAACCAGAGTTAACAGAAGGAGCTATGATTGTGTCTTCAATAGGGATTTGCTTTTATACCCCTGAGGACCTTGAGGCTTCAGGTCAGGCCGGCTCCTGTGATACATTTCTGGTGTTCTCTTCTCTTCCTGGGAAAGGTGGCTGGATGATTACTTGGGTCCCAGTCTTCCCAGGCCCCATTCTGTCATAAAGATTATGTGACTGGCATTATGCCAGCCAGATTGAATGGCAGCAAGGAAACTGTCTTAATGGGCCCGTCTGCTGTCTGTGTTTATCAAATTGCATTTGACAGGGTTTCCACATTCACAGTCATGTTTGGTTACCACAGGCCTGTGAAGTGAGATCAGAGAAAACCCAATGACCTTGGCCACAGGATCAAAGCTAGTGATCATAAACAAGGTCACTTTTTGCAGGGGGTATCAATACTACTGAATGTTGCTACTTCAGAGGAAAATGAGACTGATACGGTGCTGAGGAACGCTTATGTTGTTAGCCCCAGAATGTTCCCACCTCTACCATCAAGCAGCTAAGGCATTGTAGGAAGGAAGGGCTTTGGCCACAGTCTCCCCCACTTTGCTGTGTCCAGTGTCCACCAAGGTAGACTACGTACCTGCCGCTCTTCAGTTTCGCTGTTTCTGTTCCCTTTCAAGTTGGTCTTTGGTGTCGTAGGTTTTACTCACCCAGACCCATTCTATGGAAAAGAGACCAGGTGTGATTTCTCCTGCTGTTTCCCACTAGCATAGTAGGGCAGCCCAAAGCTGGTTTTTGCCCAGTTAACTTTGCTCTATGCAAACTGTCTTCTTTGAGGATAGTAGGGAACATTATTTAATATGGACATCTGACCATCTTATCAGGGCTGTCTGGTTTAGGCATATTCAAAAACAAAGTAAGCCTGTTTCTGTTTTTACTTTGAAGATTTTTTTTTACAGAAAAATAGTGTTGTGTGGGATGTGATTAGGAAAAGAAAATATTAAGTGTGTTTCTTTCCTTCTGACTCAGGTTTTGGCAACCACCACCATTACCTCTTCTTCTTGCTTTCCCTCTCCATGGTGTGTGACTGGATCATATATGGCTCTTTCGTCTGTAAGTATAAACGCCTCTTACAAGCCCGTGCACCCACGCCCAGTCCTCTTTCCTGTGAGCCCTTGTCCGCCACGCTAGCCAGTGTGTGAACATACCCTTGGGGAAAGAATGGTGTGGTAGCCTTTAAAACTCTTCGCGGTAGGAAGCTGCAAGGAGTGTAAGGAGAGGTAGCTCGGCATACTTGGGAAGAGAGCCTGGATGAATTTGAGTGGTCAGATAGAAATCCATTGTGTCGTGTGTAGACTTGTCCTCCTGTGAAGAGAAACGAGCTGCCTGAGTGCAGAGCAGGAGGTGGTGAGTGAATGAGATGGAGAAGGAAGAGGCTGGTGGCAGGGAGGGAGAAGATGATGGTCATAGTAAAAGAGAAAGCTCTCAGAGTGCAGGCCGTTTGAGAAGAATCTCACTGAAATGAGACCGGAGGGGGGAACTCTGTCACAGAGGAGAAATTGGGGCGAGAATATTGGCTCACTTGTTCTACAGTCCTGGAACAGAAAATAACCGTCAGTAGCACAAAGGATGTTGGTGAGCCCTTCAGAATTGTGTACCTAGCCGGGCGAGGGTGGCGCACGCCTTTAATCCCAGCACTCGGGAGGCAGAGGCAGGTGGATGTCTGTGAGTTCAAGGCCAGGCTGGACTGACAGCCTCCAAAACAATACAGAGAAACCCTGTCTTGTAAAAAAAAAAAATAATAATTGTGTACCTATAGCTGGGCGATAGTGGCACATGTCTTTAATCCCAGCACTCGGGAAGCAGAGGCAGGCGGATCTCTGTGAGTTCGAGGCCAGCCTGGTCTACAAGAGCTAGTTCCAGGACAGCCTCCAAAGCCACAGAGAAACCCTGTCTCGAAAAAACAAAAAACAAAAAACAAAAGAAAAAGAATTGTGTACCTACATTCTTCACACCTGGAAATAGTCACCTAGGGTACTAGTACTAGTATGTATTTATGTGAACTTTAGGCTTAAACTGTTTGTTGTTTATATATTTTGGAGACTGGAAAATGTAGACATGGTCTTGACTCCTAATCTTTTCACATGTGCCCCCCCTCATCCCTGCATCCCCCACCCTACCCCACCCCGCCCCCTCTGTTTTGTTGCCGTTAATGTCCTAGCTTATGGCTGTAAGCTGAAGTCTTAGAAGCACCTTGTTGCCTTATTGCCTCTACATTCCAAGCCCTAGCACCCTGTCCTGTCAGGCTGTCTCCTCTATTATCCTCACGTCTATCCCCACGCCCTTGTTTAAATTTAGAGAGGGTTTTGGGGGGGGTTGTTGTCTTACGTTTCTTCACTTGTTTGTGGGGGGGACAACTTGCAGCAGTCAGTTTTCTCCTTTCCCCACAAGTGCTGCAGGGACCAAGCAGACTTGGCAGCAACCCCTGAAGCAACTAAGTGAGTCACTAGCGCTAAGGCAGCTCTCTGTGTGCTGCTCCGTCTTGCACTCCCCTCGTGCAGACGGCAGGGCCAGAGTCTCTTGGGTTTGAGCTCTCTTGTTTGGGGGTTGTTAGCGTCTGTATGGACTGGGTCGCCTTGTGCCCTGACACAGGCATAGTGCAAGCTTCAGCCACTGTCGGACCTTTCCCTCCTGACCTGCTAGCCGTCTGTTCTCTAGAGAGTGCCTTAGAAAACGTAACCATGGCCGGCTCAGACAGGGCTCAGTTCTTGTCCAAGTCCACAGCAGCCCTGAGCATTGTAAACCCTCTTAGAGTGGGTCTTACAGAAAAAGCGCTCACGATCTCCTAACAGAGCATCCCTGACAGCTGCCCTCTAAGGCATGGGGATGAGACCTGTTCTTGGAAGCCTTCTGAGTTGGCCCATGGACCACCTTGTCCCTTGGACTTGATCCTAGCAGAAAGGAGCCAGACTTCACACCACTCTTGTCGCTCCCCACTAAAAATAGTCACGTTATTTGGTGTTGCAACCCAGCACAATGTCGAATTGATGAAGATAGCAGCAATTTTCCATCACATTCAGTCTTTCCAAGTTGGTTTTTATAACATATGTTTCTTCTTTCCCTTCTTCATTTTCTTTTACTGGCTTTGACCAGTTTTCATTTGGTATTTTATTTGTGAGGCGTTACATTGACTAAAATTCTGCAGGCCAGCTGAGCATACTTTGTCATTGATGAAGGGATTGTGTCATTTGTCATTTTTTTCCAGACAGTAAACACAAGCTTGCACTCCATTTGTCTTAACAAGGCCTCCTTGCCACCCTACCTCCTCTGTGGACCATTTTTCTTGTCATCATTAGAGTTCTGTTACTTACCCTCTTCATGTGGCCCACTCCCTGCTGCTTCTGTCCCAGCACAGACTCCATCCTCTTAATCTTGTGTGAGGTCCGTGTTGAGGGTAGAAAGAGGTGAATCAGGAAGTCAGCATCCTACAAGTTATAGGGAGAAGATCATTACATCATATCCAGAAGGGCTGTGTAAGTATCAGAGCTAATTCACGATGAGAATAACTGGCCTGGAACAAAAGAGTTTCTTGCCATGAAAGGGGGTGGATTTGGATGGAGTGGAGGAGGGGAAGAATTGGGTAAGGTAAATGGAAACTGTAAGTATGTTATCTGTTTTCAATAAAGGGGGGAGAAAATTCCCTGTCATTAACCATAGACTAGCTAGGAAGGCTGCATTAGCATGAATTAAATTGTTACCTTGCATAAGATAATGTAGATGGCCACTTGCAGCCATATCTTTGGAACTAAATCTGAAGTCAGTGTGAGCGCTTCTCTGTAGGTCATGCTGTTATCAAGAAAAAAAAAAAAACCCAGGAGGAAGCAGTAGAAATCATTAAACTAAAAGAAGCTAGATATTCTCCCCATTCAACAGCTGTTTCTTCTTCTTCCTGCTGTGGAAAATATATTCTTTCTTTTTCTTTTGTCCATCAGGTGCATAGGATGCCTCTTACTTTGCTATCCTAATGAGAAGCTCTGAAATGTGTCATTTGCTTTAATGTGTTGCCGTGATTGTTACTCAGCTCTTAGGGGGCTTTAGGCATATATTCATGAAAGATGCTTAGGAATCAAAATGGGGGAAATAGATCTTCAAGAGTAAAATGGACAGTCTTGGACTCATTTTCTTCCTGACTCAGGAGATGCTCATGCTGCTTTGGATGAATGTCTGAAACTGCTTACAAATTGTTAGAGGGCTTTGTGAAACATCAAAGTGCAAATCTGCAGAATTCTCACTTCAGAAGTAATCTACCCTTTGTGTGCATCATGACCTTGAAGATCTGTTTCCTTGTTTCTTCTGCCTCCTACCTGTTTTCTCCTTGCTGCTGCTCTCGGTTCGTGGCTTAGGGGTTAGAGTCATGGCCACAGTGAAGGCCTCTTTTAATTGTCATGTAGGGACCCTGGAAGAGAAAGTGGGCAGTGACCATTTGAATCTTCTTGTGTTGGACTGGTCTGTCTGTGAGGCTCTTTACCCTGGCCTTTCTTGAGAGGACTGTGAATCAGGCCAATGGCAGAGGTACACCAGGCCTGGCTCCCTATCACAGGCTATGTCCTGAAGGTATCTGGATGCTTGTATTATGTATTGTGCTCACAGCAATCCTGGTCACCTGAACCTTTAGTAAGTATTTATATTCAAACCTGCACTGAATTCGTAACATTCCTTAAAGTGAAGAGGATCGCTTTCTTAAATGATTACTAGGTGTCATTATGCTCAGTTGTCAAACCCTTAAAACATTCTAGCCTGTGTATTTTATGGTGAGTATGCTGTTTTTAGTGAACACTTTTCTGGGCCCCTTTTCATGTTATTCCTTTTCCTGTCGACTGCTGGTGTGGTACCATCAGAGCCTTACTTCCGCTCTGGTCCCCATTTTCACTTCCAGCGTCTGAACTGGCATTTAGAAAATCAATTCCTGAAGTTGAATTTCTGCGTTTGTTTGTTTGTTTGTTTGTTTGTTTGTTTGTTTGTTTTGCTTTACTTTTGATGCTTGGAGCTTGGGCCAAGGACCATGTACACATTGTTAAGGATGCGCACCACGCTGAGCTATTCTTCCTATTCCTAAAGTTAATTCTGATCTATGCTATTCTCTGTCATTTCTCCCTAAGTAGAACTATATAATTTTATCTTTTTGCAGAATAGCTAATTTTTTGTCATTGTTAATAATGTTTTTTTTTTCCCTTGTGAATTTACAGACTGGTCAAATCATTGTGCCACAACATTCAAGGAAGATGGACTATGGACCTACCTCAGTCAGATAGTGGCCTGCTCTCCCTGGGTTTTGTATATCTTCATGCTAGCAGCTTTCCATTTCTCATGGTCAACATTTTTATTAATAAATCAGCTCTTTCAGGTATCCTGATTATGACTTTGAAATTGTCAGGGACTCATAGTTGGGTAGAAAGACTTGACTTTAAAATCAGAGAACCAGCACCCAGTTCCTCCAGGGCACCCTCTGCGAGTCTAGCATGTCATCTCTCACCCTTCAGTTTGTTTCCTTGTCTGTAGGATGAAGGTGACAAAGTCCATCTGTTCTCACAGGCAGCTTAAAGGTTGGAATAATAAATTGCTTGCTGAGGCTGTGCCCACTCAGGAGTGATCTAATCTGGCCTTTTAATTTATCAAAGTCACTCAGTGAGTGGCAAAATCAGAAATGGACACTTAGTTCTTTTAACAGTCTCACCCAGGGTTCTTTTCACCTCACATTACACTAAATAGTGTGTGAAAACAGAGAGCCTGTAAGTATTGCACAAATGCAAAGCAGTTAATTCCTTCAGTTCTTTCGGTTCTTGGGTAACTGCAAGAGGGAGAAAGATGAAGACAAGCCACTAGCAGGTGGACGGGGTAGCCACCTGTTGAGGAAGTTCACTTGCCGGGCAGTAGCAGCCTCAGCTTTCTGCAGAGCCTCCTACCCTGTGCTGTGCCCCATTTCCAGAGCTGTCTGCAGGAGCTGGGCAACAGTGGTCAGTATACGGCAAGTGTTAGGAGGCTAAGGGTTAGGATATTACTCCGCAAAAGCAGAACGGATTCCACCTTTGTGAGGAAAATGGTGGTGGAAGTAAGAGGACAAGTGAAGGGAGTCAGGAAATGCTAAGGAAAGGTTAACACTGACAAAACTAAGCATCCGTCTTTAGCCTGCTGACGTCAGCAGCTCAGGCAGTAAGAATCGGTGTTACAAGAGAGTACTCACATACTAATACTCACTTTATAAGCACGTTTTCCAAAGCATTTACACATCTAGGTCATCGTGAACACTGAGGTAGGGGACATACCAGAGTAGTAGCTCTCTTGTCTAACAAACCTTGGTTCTGACCAGAAGCCTAACGATAAGGTCATATATGAGGTTCAGACACCCGTAACGCAAGCTCCCAAGAGGTTAAAACATGAGTATTAGAAGTTAAAGGCCAGCTTGGGCTACATAGCAAGACCTGTCTCCAAAACAAATGGATGGTGGCATTAATATTTAAAGAAAGATTGATATATTTGTCTGTACTAAGGGCTAAAGGTTTCAGATAATTTTCACAAACACAGTAGTTGCCTGACATTGGTGGTGCTCACCTTTAATCCCGGCACTCGGGAGGCAGAGGCAGGCAGTTATCTGTGAGTTTGAGGCCAGCCTGGTCTCCAGAGTGAGTTCCAGAACAGCCTCCAAAACAATACAGAGAAACCCTGTATGGAAAAAAACAATCATACAGTTGTTTGTTTATTGATTTCCTAATGTAAGATCAGTTTAACTGCATTAAATCGAGCTGAGGCCGATGGTTGGGAGCAGAGGCTGTGTCTCACACTGACCTGCCAGTCCCAACTCTGCCTCTCTCAGCTGTATGAACCCTCACTTCACCTCTCTCCACATCAGCATATGCCTTGGGTATGCTATCTTAGATCCTAGGGTAGTAGAGTAAGGATGCTGTGGTCACTCCATTTTACACATGAGCTAGCCATGTGAACTGTTGTGGTCTATGATTTGAGAGTTTCTTAATCATCTTAGTCCTTCCTCTTTAATTTATGAATCAGATGTTCTTCCCTTTAGTGTATTAACTTTTTTTCTCCGACACCTTTTTAAAGAAAAGTTCAGAAGAACTCAGAAACTGTGGTAATTGAGCCGATGCTACTTTATGTATGTTCCTATGTTGAAATCTAAATATGGCCACAAGACAGGGCTGTAGTGAAGTTATTTCATAATTCTGAGTCAATATACAATAAGTTTAGCTATTATTTTGTAGAGTATTAAGTGTTTACCACCATCCCATAGTGTACTTTTAAGATGTGATAATGCTTGATGTACCTCCATGTTTTTCAGATTGCATTTCTGGGCCTAACCTCCCATGAGAGAATCAGCCTGTTAAAGCAGAGCAGGCACATGAAGCAGACATTGTCCCTCAGGAAGACACCATATAAGTAAGTGAATTCTGGTCTGGTCACCGAGTCCTTGGAAGATTCCCAGCCACGGATTCCTTGACCTAGTTCCATTCTCTAACTTACTGTCTGGTGGAGGTGAGCCTGTCTTTCTTGGAAGCCTCGGTGTCAGGTTCTAAGTGATAAGGTCATATGCCCACTGGGGTCAGGAATTTAGTCTCCTGGACTCGGCACAAATGTAAGTTACTTTGATGTTTTGCCAAGATGGGGCCTCTCCGTTTGAACCAAGTGATCACAAGGTTGTGTGTTGCTGGCAAGGAGTCAGCATGAGATAGTTAAGCATGTGGCTGACAAGCCAGCCACAGGGTTCTGTAGAAAGCATTGGGTGTGGTATACTTTAGCATGACTTTCAAGCCCAGTCCTTCTTTTAGTTCTCTGTGTAACGTGCCTACCTATGTCAGATTTCTAGATTGGGATGTGTACCCTTAGAACATTGACTCTATAAAACTTGTCCTTGATTTTAAAGTTAGAGTGCTCTACAGAAACTCTGACCTTGTGGTGTGAAAGACCAAGCTTTATCTCCTGCCACCTACATCAGTGTCTGGGGGCTGGGGGTGTGATAGAGGTGACCCAGAGCCCTCAAGGAATTTGAGCACTCAGTACTTATCTCAGTGGCGTCTATCTCAAAGCCTGCTCTTGGTGTTTGGCTGTTAGACAGGGAATCAGGGACTGGTTTGATGTTACAGTGTGGATTTATGGAGGAGACAAGAGATGGCCATGCAGCGCTTAATTAAGCCAAGCAGAAGGAGCCTTAGGTAGAGACACATCTTCACAGTGTACAAAGAGATTATCCCACAACACAGTTCTACACTTGGCAGCCCTCTTCTGGAAAATTAGGTCAATCCTTTACCAGCAGCATCATGGTGCTCATGTAGAGCACAACCGTCTAACAGCAGCGTGGTCCAGGTGGTGTTTACGCAGTTTGGTGTGTATAGATTGACTGTATACATAGGTGTGTACGTTAAAATTAAGATAGAACTGTTTCAGGAATTTGATGGAGAAAAGGTGATGCTGAACATAGTTACAGTCATGGTAGCTCTTTGCAAGATTGGGGATATTGGTTGGACCTTGAGGATCAGGAGGAGATAAGGGTGAGGGAGTGTGTATTCCAAGCCCACAGTTCATAATTATGGGAAAACAGCCATCCTAGGAGTGCAAGATTTGCATAGGTGGGTTTGGGGAAGTAAATCTTGAGGTCATTAAGTATAATACTATATATAAAATGAGGAGGCTGGATGTGTTCTTCTGGGCAGAGAGATATCTTGGAAGGGTTGAGCTTGGGAGGTAAGAAGCTGTCAGTGTATCAAGGGTTCTTCAGGACAAGACAGTCTCCAGTGCATCAGGTAAATTATACGGAACTGGGACCCCTGTTGGTACAACTATTTAGAAGGCTTAAGGAAAGCCCACCTTCCTGGTTACAGCTCTAGCCTATGGGCGCTTTCAGATAAAGTGCATTGAGAATAGGAGTAAACTTAGTAATGGTAGTGAGTGGCATTGTAGTAGGAGGGGACCCAAAGGAAATGATCTCAAGTTCTTGATCTGGTGTCAGGGTCTCACAATAGCAATTCAAGTCCACAAATGGAGCTAGGTTTCAACTTTAGGGTTCCATACCAGGAGCTGCCACTTCCCTCTCAGCTTTCCACAAGGTCAGAGGGCAGTCTGGGTGAATGCTTGTGGTAGCAACATAAGAAGCATAATGACCCGTCTTCTCTTCTTTTCTTGACAGCCTTGGATTCACACAGAACCTGGCAGATTTCTTTCAATGTGGCTGCTTTGGCTTAGTGAAGCCCTGCATCATAGATTGGACCTCCCAGTACTCCATGGTTTTCCACCCAGCCAAAGAGAAAGTTCTTCGCTCCGTGTGAAGAAAAGCACCTCAAAACTCACTCTGACTTGTTTTTGTTTGTTGGTGCTGTGAGGTCTGAAAGTGAAGTAAGATGTGGAGCTTACCACAGTTCAAAACTGTGGCAACTCAGTCCTCAGCAAGTGTGCACCCCCTGTCAGACCTAGAGAGAGAGCCTGTTATTGAGAAGTCTGACAGGATCCTTAACAAACTTCCATATTTTCCCCACGAACATGAGTTACTTTTTAAAAAACATAATAGTCACTGATTATGGATAAAATAGAATATTTTCAGATTCTATATTGGCTTTTTAAAAATAGTACTCTTGAAACATGTAATTTTTGATAAGTTATTTGTCTGTATTGTATCTATAAATATGTAAAGAGTATTTAAATAGATGTGCCTGTTTTGCTTTCACACTTAATAAAAACTCTTTTTTTATACTTGAGACTTGTTTCTGATGCTTAACTTCTGTAGAATCTTGAGAAGACAGCTTGACAGACATAGGGAAACTAATTCATGATTTTAGGAATGAGTTGAAATTGCTGTTGATGCCAGTAATCAATATTTTACTTAGTTTTCCTTTTGGAATTTGAATACATGAAGTCTTAAATATTCATCTCAATTTTACCCAGTACTATTAAAAGATTAACTGATTGGTGATAGTACTTACTGGTTTCCCTTGTCTAGGAGAGATGCTGATATTGCCAAACTCTTGGTATAGTTTGTACAACTCTACCAGTTACTTTTCTTACTGAATCCTTCCTTGGGTTCTTGTCTTGGGGTGAAAGCTAAATTTCTAGTGATGGCCTGTGAACCCTTGAATGATGCTGTTTTATTGTACCAGTGTCATCCTGGGCCACTGTTCAGTTCTTCAAGGATCCTTGTTACATTAGGAAGGACCTAAATGTAAAAGAAATGAGTATCTTCTCCAAGGTCATATGGAGTTTAGTGTGGTTGCCCTGTAGAGTGCCAATCACTTAGACTATTGCCTACTACAGTGTTCATAGGATAAATATTTGAATTAATGTGTTGAATGAAATAAGGAGTTTTTAAGTAAGTCATATAATCAGAGTCACAGATGGTAGACACAACTTTCCCAAACTATATTCTCCCTTTCTCACCAGCCCCTACTACCTTAGTGTTCTATTGCTGTGAAGAAACACCATGACCATGGCAACTGTTATGAAGGGAAACATTTAATCGGGGGTGGCTTACAGTTCAGAGGTCCATTATCGTCCATTATCATCATGGCAGGAAGCATAGTGGCACTCAGGCAGACATGATGCTGGAAAGGTAACAGAGTTTTATACCTGGAACAACAGGCATCAGGAAGAGAGAGTGTGCCGCTGGGCCTGACTTGAGCTTCTGAGACCTCAATGCCCACCCCCAGTGACACACTTCCTCCAACAAAGCCACACCTACTCTAACAAGGCCATAGCCAATAGTGCTGTTGCCTGTGGACCTATAGGGGCCATTTTCATACAAACCACACATACCAAGAATGCTTTCCCAGATTGTGCACAGAACATTTAGATCAGAATGAAGGAAACTAGGTAAGAAGCCAGAACTCAAATTCAAATTCTCTGCCTGAGACCTTCGGAACCTCCATATTCCAGGTCTTTACAGATGGAAAGTGCATTTCACAATGATTTATTGAGCTATAACAATCAAGGAGCTTTAAAGACAGGGATAGCTAAATATAAATGAAATTGCAGTATAAGGTAGCAAACATTAAAAGCCATTCAGAGTAGTGCAAATAAGACATAAGAATTGAGAGGCTAAGGAGAGACTCAGTGGATACTATCAAGGAAGTGCTGGTGAATGGCAGTGTTTACAAAGGACAGGGTGGGCCCCAAAGCAACAGGAAGTAGGATAACTTGGTTGTAGTAAATTGATACTTCAAGTGTGCGTTAGTCAAAGGAATTAATATGATAATAACTATCTCCTCAATGCCTTTAAATACTCTCAACACGGGTCTCTAAATACAGCATAAGGCTCATTTCTTACGCCATCATCTAGCGGTCAGCAGGTGTCCATTCAGAGACCCACCATTACTGAATGTCTCCATATCTATTGCACTTTCTGTGTCCGGAGGTGTGGAGAGAGCATGAAGACTCTTCCAAGAAGTTTCAGCAGACAGGGCTCCCTTGGCCAAACCCCATCATCTGTCCCAGATGGTAACAAAAGAGTCTAGGAAATGAAGTGGATTCAGGTGCCCAGGAAGCAGAGAAGTCCAGTGTCCACCGTGAGATTCTTTCATTGTCTTTCAAGTTTCTTCACTGCATGTCTTCAATTCTAGCACAGTCTGGGTTTTGTCTGGTTTCTGTTCTCTTCCACTGCATTGAACAAATATGTGTGAAGTGCCTTTGATTTGTTGAATGTTACAACATTCTAACAAGGATACAAGGAGATTCAAAAATACAGTGCAAGGAGATTGCACCCCAGCCGTGGGAGTGCAAAGGTAGGTTCACCTGCTCAGGTACTTCAAAAACTTGTAAAGCAACTGGCTTGGTTAAGGAATAAAGATGGAGGTGTGAAGATGAAGTTTTCTGTCCCGCCAGGTCCTGTCACCCGTCAGCACACAGAGACATATTAATTATTAAACTGTTGGCTAATGGCTTAGGCTTCTTATGGACTACTCTGGAAGTAATTATTAACCCATTTCTACAAATCTATGTATTACCACGAGGCTGTGGCTCACCCGTAATCCAACATGTTACTCCTTCAGCAGCATGGCGTCCCTACACAGCCTCTCCCCAGCATTCTCCTCGTCTCCTAGTCCCTCCTATCTCCCTGCCTCTACTGGCCAATCAGAGCTTTATTCATCAACCAATAAGAGAAACACATTTATGGAAGAACACCCCCATCAGAGGGGCATCTCCATTTTCCAGGAATTTAAAGTAGAAAGAAGAGCATCAGCAAAACCATGGTAGGCGGAGAGTACAGGGCAACTTGTTATGCTCCCTATGTGCTAGGCTTTTACTGGGTGGAATTGCCTCCTCAGAACTCACATGTTAAGTCCCCACATGAAGTCCCTCAGATTATGACTTTATTTGGAGATAAAGCCTTTAGAGAAATTAGGGTTGCAGCAGATCATAGGGATAAGCCTTGATTCACTCATTAAATGCCAGCTTTAGGACATAGACACATCAGTGGTAAGGTCATGTGAAGACAAGAGGTAGCCTGGATAGCCAAGGAATGAGACTTAAAAGGAACCCACCATGTTGGCCCCTTGATCATAGACTTTCAACCTCCAGCATTGGAGAAATTTTCTGTTGGTTGAGCTACCCAGTCTGTGGTACTTTGTTACAGCAGCCCTAGTAAACTAATGCATAGACCAGATAGAGGTGGAGAGATGTGTTCTAGAAGTACCCTCGAGTCAGAAGCAAAGAGGCATAAAGAGTGGAGGAGGGGGATGAGGGGCAGGGCAAAGCTGATGGTGACAGTTTTAGCTTCTGTCTCCTGGGTGTTTACTTGGTGGGGCTGGTATCTGAAATGCAGCAGAGGAGGAGGAAGCTGCATTGTCCTGCAATCATGACACACATGTGTCTTCGACTCCTGGGCAAGCCTGGAGTCTATTACAAGGCAAAACAGTGTGTTGTTTTAAGATCCACATAGGAGTTTGTCTAAGGCAGCACATGTGCAGTGCTAAATGCCTGCTTATTTTAAAGACAACCTTTCTTGGGACTCAGAGAATAGAGAAATAGCTTTTATATCTGTATTCCAAGTAATTAAGGAATTGCAGAGGTGGGAAAAAACAGCATAGTTGCTTAAAGAAGATGATACATATATTCAAGCCACAAAAGAGGCAGAGAAAGACATATCTAATTGGCTTTGTTTCGTTAGTGAGGCCAGCAATTTGATGTGAGAGGGGTTTTAAGAAAATTGCTAAACCCCAAGGAATTGTATATTAAGAGAAATTCCTCCTGCCATTTGTAACACAGAACCATATGTCAAGCTTTGTTTTATTTTCCAGTTTCCATAGTTTTGCAAAGCCCATGATGGGACAAAAGGATAAACCTTTCACTTTTTATTAGTTTTGATTTTCCTCTTAATATTTGCTTTGGGTTCTCGATTTCCTCGGACCTCCTGTTGTCTTCTCTGCTCTCTCAGTGATGAGGGAGTCAGACGCTCCTGTAGAGACTGGGACACTGTCTTCCCTTGTGTCTTTTTCCTGTCTCTCAGTGATGAGGGAGTCAGACGCTCCTGTAGAGACTGGGACACTGTCTTCCCTTGTGTCTTTTTCCTGTCTCTCAGTGATGAGGGAGTCAGACGCTCCTGTAGAGACTGGGACACTGTCTTCCCTTGTCTCTTTTTCCTCTCTTTTCACGGCTGATACAGAAATTCATACTCTGCAGCTAGTTTTTCTAAAAACAAGTTCTCTCCTCTTTAAAAGCCTTCCCCTCTCTGCAAAGAAGACAGACACAGTACCACTAAAACATTTATTGCCTCTCCCGCCCCAAGAATAGTAAATGATGAAGCATCTGCTGCAGATCGCATTTCTGGTGTTTTCTTCCGAAGGTCTCTTGTTACTTGGATGCAGCCTATGGCTGCTCCTGAGGGGCAATGCTGTCCAGCTACAAAGGGGCTGTCTGGGGCAAACTCTGCATCTGTGGGCTTACTCGGCACTGCCGTCAGCTGGCAGCGTCGTGAGAGTGCCCACCATTTCACTCTTTCTTTTCCACTTGCTGTGTAAGGCCGCCAAACCCAATGCCCGTGGGGCCAAAATTTTTGGCATAGCAAACTGTAAACCAGAAGATGAGAAAGAATATATTGATTAGCATGGGTAAACACCTTTCTTACTTGCCAGTAGTAGCCTTTGGTGAACTTAATTTTTAAAGAAATGAAGCTGTGCTTAGATTTGCTAATAATCTTTGTTTATACATCTTTGCACTTGACAGTGTTACTGATGCTTTCTTATACGATAGTCCACAAAAGTCGACTCGAATTGCTCGCCCACCCAGCCCTCCACCTTGCAGCTGCCCAGGGCTCTCTCTCTCCCTGCATGCCCTGTCCACCAGACTCTCAAGAGTGCTTGCAGTTCCTGTACTGTACTATAATGTCTCCTGTTGCTGTTCCCTGTCCTTGGAATGCCCCTCCCGGAGCCCACATCACCCTTCAAGCCCAGAGGACTGTGTCTCCAGAATCCCCCCCCCCGTACGCCCCCCCCCCCGTGGATGCCGGGGCACTAAGGGCGTTCTCCACTATAGCTCCACTTTTATTTCTTTGTGTTTTCTACTCTGAAACTCCTCTTTGCATGCTGGGTTTTTTATGGCTACAGCAAGATTGTAGGGTCTTATGAGCTATATCTCTTCTGCCTGTCAGACCAAGTGAATTCCCATCCTGTGTGGGGAAAGTTCTGTCAGTCTATTGTCTTTGGCTCTGTTTGAGACAGACTGTCCTACAACTCATCCTGGCCTTGAATTTGCTATCCACTTGCTTCTGCCTTCCAGGTGTAGGGATGTTTTTTTTTGTTTGGTTTGTTGTTTCGAGACATGGTTTCTCTGTGTAGCCCTGGTTGTCCTGGAACTTGCTCTATAGACCAGGCTGACCTGGAACTCAGAAATCTGCCTGCCTCTGCCTCCCGAGTGCTGGGAAAGCATGCTCCACTAAGCCTGGAGGTGTGGGGATTATTACAGGTATGTACTGCTACACCTGGTACCTAGTCTCAATTATCAATCTCTCTTTAAACCATCCCACCCCCTTCTCTCTCTCCACCACACACATTTGAAGCTTCTTGAACACCTTCATTAGGTGTCCTGAACTCCAGAGTAAGCCTTAGAGATCCTGCAGGGTTGAGGACATGCTGTCTTTGCTCCCTGGTATGTCCTCTTTTCTTGACGTCAGGAGGGAGCTGGGCCTCACCATCTTTACACATGACCAAGGGATTATGGAAGCAGTTTATGGGCAGAGCTGGAAGGATCAGGACAAAAGACATTTCTGTCCCTGTGGTTGCTTAGTGACTTGCAACACCAGCAGCGCATGTCAGGCGGGTGGAAACATTGTGGGAGAGGGGGAGGCATACAGATGAGGCCAGGATAACCTTTCACTCACCTAGACACCCTCTCTGCCTCCCACACAGATTGAGATGCTTGAGTTTCACTCTCTTTCCTTACCTGCGCTCCTGAACCCCTGAGCCGGGGCCAGGGGCTGCACCCTTCCCTTTGGACAGTTTTGCTACCTTCCAAGAGCCCCTACTGCCAAGCTGAGTAGTCTGACTCCTGGCAAACGCAGTCAGGCCCCTGAGCATGGCAGAGCTTCCCATCATCTCGGGCCCTTGGAAAACCAGTTTCAGGAAAGTCTCTGCAGTCACTTACCTTTGCAGTAAAGCTCCCCATCCTTGTCAGTGACATTTGTGGACTCCAGACTCTTCCCACAGATGGCGCAGCGGAAGCAGGTCTTGTGCCAAGGCTGGGAGTCAGGAGAGAGTTATTTACCAGGGAGGCAAGCAGCACATTGTAGTTCCACTTGAAGGGCACTGAGAAGCAGTGCTCAAAGCAGTGTGACTGCCCTGGTCTTTCTCCTATGAAAGAGGGCCCTCAGCTACTAATGCCAGGGGGTTCAAGAAAGAAAAAAAAAAGATGCAACGGCTGTGGCCAGCCATTCTTGGAACCCTGGATTTACAATGACAATTCGCAGAGTGTTTCTTCAGAATCAACTCAGCAGGAAAGATCTTCCCCAGAGTGACAAGATCCAGGGGACAAACTGGTCAAGAGACTTGAGCATGAGACAATGGTCATGTTTGTGTTACATAGGAAGTTCAAGGAAGCGAAGGGGGAGGAACCAGGCAATTATCCAGGCGAGCCGCTTGTTTTTGTCTGCCAGGCGTAGCCTGGGGCTCTTGCATGTCTACAAATGGCCAGTCTTTGTGTGGGGACACCCCTAAGCTTCGAGCCCTTCATGTCTCCCCTTCTCCTTACAGAGAATGAACACAACTTTCTTTCCCCAGCTCCCGTTCCTTTGGTGAACACCCTGGCTTTGGGCCTGAAACCAGTTGCCAGGGCAGTGTGTGCTCCTGTGTACACTTGAAGACTTTCCCCTGAGTCAGAGTGTGTGCAAGTGTGTGATAGCATAGTCAGGCTAGGTTACACAGGGGTGAGGGGTTCCCAGGGCTGACACCTCTAGAGGGATGGGACACAGAAGCGTAGGAGGAGGAAGAGGGACTCATGCACCTTTGCATCCATGAGGCTTAGCTGCATTCCTCCCCTGCCCCCCCTTCCCCGCCGTACGTTCTTACTGTGACAAACTCAAAGGGCACTATGTAACAGGCACAAAATTGGGAAATGGGCGGGGGGAGCATGTGTGCCTTCCAAACAGGTTGTGGGAGCTAAGGAGAACGAAGGGTCTGGGCCCCACCCACAGTCCCCATGGATTTCATTTCTCCCACAGATCCAGCGGAGACGAGAAGCTACCATCTGGCTCGCCCAGACGTCCTCACCTTACCACCTCCCATGACTTTCTCCGCAGCATACACCGACTTCCCGCATCGTGGGCACTTCTCTGACTCTCCAAACTTTGCCGAGAACTTGGAAGGGTTGCTCGTGGTGGCTGCGCGGGCCGGCTTTGGAGATCTGGTGGAAACACAAGTGGAGTGAAGACTGCCCTTGCACACAGTTTGACAATGGTGTCTCTCATGAAGTTCCTCACTCCACTGTGCCTCTCTCTCTTCGTCTACGAATGGGCATAAGCATGGGTCCCATCTCAGATGCTGAGAAGGTTAAATATGGTGGCTGTGTTAACGCTCTGAAGACAGCACCTGTTGGTGTGGATGGGCTGATGTGTGTTATGTCTTCCCTTTTACACTTTAGTGAGTGTTCCTTGCATGTGCATGTGTTGTCATTGGTTTGCTTTTTTTCTTTTGATTTTTTTTTGTACTGTCACAAAGCCAGATGGTTATCTTGCATACTTTTCCCAAAGTCACCTGTCCCCTTGAGAGCAGTATCCAAAATGGAGGCAAAGACTCAGCTCCTTGCATTTTGAGTCTTTGATGTCCCTTCATACGTGGTATCTCCTGACCCTCACCAGTGTTTGAAGTAGATATGGACTCGTGGGAAGAGAGGGAGGAGCAACAGGCATAAGATTAGGCATCTCCTGGCTGGTGGAGCTAGGAAGACCGTAAGGTCCCCAAAGGCTTTTCACTGTTTCCCAATGTCAGAAAAATAGGCTTTAGATAATGCAAGACAGCATGCCGTTGTCATCACCCCATTGACTTTAACATAAGGTCACTAGCTGGGATGGAGGGTAATGAGAAAAAAATAATAGAGGTGGCCTCTGGTCAACATGCAAGCACACATCCCTCTATATCCCCATGCTCTGTGGTGGATGACTCTCTTCTTCTTCTTTTTTTTTTTTTTTTTTTTTTTTTTGTTGTTTTTCGAAACAGGGTTTCTCTGTGGCTTTGGAGACTGTCCTGGAACTTGCTTGGTAGTCCAGGCTGGTCTCGAACTTACAGAGATCTGCCTGCCTCTGCCTCCCGAGTGATGGGATTAAAGGCGTGCGCCACCAACACCCGGCGATGACTCTCTTCTTAAGGGACCAAATGGCAAACTCTTCTCTGAGGTACTTACTCAGTTCAGCTAGCTCTTTCCGGACAATCACGACAGTACTAAGCCCAGACAGATAACAGTTGGCCAGACAGCAGCCATGGACCAGCCACCATCAGACTGTTTTTAATTCTGGCTAGTGGTCAGTGATGATCAACAGTGAAACTCGGGAGCTGGCAGTGGCCATTGTGATACCCCACGCCCTTAGGATCGTGTTGGGGAGCATTGGTGCTGTGTGGGTATGGCAGCAGGAAGCCAAGGAAACCCACAAAGCCATCAACACTGATGTTTCCTCCTGAGGGTCTGCTCCAGATCCTTCCTCCGGCATTGCAGGCATTACTCATCTTACACTCCAAGAAAGAGATCTTTACTGACAAGCACACAGAGAGTGACCATGGCTTTCCTGCTGTATTTATGTGGTTTACACAGAAGCTCTCAGAGGAGAAGAAAAGAGACTCCATGCAGTTTGCAAAGGTCAAATAAGGGAACATCTGTACATTCTGGGTCTTCTCTTGACATGCAAACTGAGAACCATCATGTAAAAGTAATTGCTCTTTAGAAAAGTTAGATAATTTAAAGAGAGAGAGAGAGAGCACATTGTTAGGACTTGGTCAGAGTGAGTATTCCTATTGTTGGCAAGTCAACAATAGAGTCCATTCTCCCACTTCCAGAAAATGTTGCTATGGGAACAGAATGAACTGTCTTGATAATTGGAGACTAGCAGAGGGGGAAGAAGCATGGCAGTAACTTACTGTTGGAACTGCAGGCCGAGGTGCTCTCCTGTGTCGGTGCTGAGGCAGCCAGCGCCTTGTCCAAACCCGATCCCCTTGGGGCCGTACCTGCGCCCGTAGCAGACCTTACAGTAGATCTCTGACTCATGAGCTGCCACTGTGGTGCTGTCCAGAGCCTTCCTGCAGGCCACTGTAGAGGAAAGGAAGAATCAGGAAGTTAGGATTGACCTCCCCATCTCTCTCTTCTGCTCCCGATGCTGTCTATGTTCAGAGCCCCAGGCCAAGAACACATCTGTGATTCCTGCCACATCCAGAGCCTCTGTTCTGAGTCACTCCCAATGGAGACCTGGCCTTGCAGATGAGGAAAGGGGCTCAGACAAGAGGAGTGGTGTGTTTGCTATACCCAGCTGGAAAGGGGTACCGCCAGCCCTGCATCGAGTGTGTAGTCTTGGGCCTGCTAGCAACAGAGTTCCTGACCAACTAAGGAATCCTGCTGAATGACATCAAGAAGTTGTGGGGTGGGGGCAGCTTATTTACACCTTAGTTTTATAGGAGCAATTTCTGAACCCATCAAGGTTTCATTTACTTAATTTAGTTTTTCGAGACAGGGTTTCTTCATGTAGCCTCGGCTGTCCTAAAACTAGCCCTGTAGACCTCACAGAGTGCTGGGACTAAAGGTGTGTGCCGCCACTGCCAACCTTCATCCAGATTTTTAAAAGAGAATTGTGATATTGTGTCCAGTTCTGGGGCAAGGGGTAGGGCAGAAGGGGACACAGCTGACTCACTGGTCCCCTTGGTCTCCCATTGGCTCAAGCTGCCTTGTCACTATATACTTACCTTATGTCATTTGTCCCCAAATGTAAAGAAACTAAATTCAACGACAAAGATTACAGAAAGAGTTGTTTTTAAACTCAAAAAGGCTGTGTGTCTGTCTGTGTGTGTCTGTCTGTCTATCTGTGTGTGTGTGTTTGTCTGTCTGTGTGTGTGTGTCTGTGTGTCTGTGTGTGTGTGTGTCTGTCTGTGTGTGTGTGTCTGTGTGTGCGTGTGCGTGTGTGTGTGTGTGTGTGTGTGTGTGTGTGTGTGTCTTATCTGTGTGTGTGTGTGTGTGTTGTTGGGAATTTAACCCAGGGACCCAGGCGTCTGACGAAGCTCTCTACTGCTGAGTTACACAGGCAATCCCAAGGGTGGAACTTTTAAAGACGTAACTGAAAATGTCAAATCATCTTATAATACTTAATAACCCACATGAAGAATATATTGGAAATGCTATTTTCCCTAATCTCACACAAACTCAGGGATTCCATTCTTTCTTGGCATCGTTCCTACCACTCACTTTTGGGACAGCTGATTATAGATAGCTGCCCTGAACAGCTCACATTCACTTAGATCTGTGTCTGAGCCCTGGACAGGCAGCCCTTTATGTCCCCTGACCAGGAGGCTTTAGCATGAAAACGATCTCAACACACAGAGTTTATTACCTACCACAGCACTAAGGCAGCTGTAAGGTATAAAGAGTTTCCACAACTTAACAAAACACTGTAGTGCTTTGCAGTAATGTTAGATGTTTATAGGAATAATCATTAACTGAGATCATAACCTCAGAAATAATAAAACGTGTACATTCAATTTATTTGTTCCCTTAAAAAGCAAAGCAAAACAGTTTCACCAAATGATCTTTATAAGTAACCTAGCATGGATGAGATCACTGCACGTTAATATGCCTTTCTGAAAGGGCATTTTCTTGCTAAAAAACAGAGCAATTAAAACAGGCATAAAAGAAGCAGCTTACAAATGCAGTAGGATGGGCCAGAGGCTGATGGTTGTGGAACTTGGAAGACAAACATATGGAACAGAATTTATTCAAGTATCTAAAGGTTAAAGTCTTTGCTCAAAAAATTGGAAAAATACAAACAAAACAGAAAGTCTTAAGTCATTGAGAGAGTGTCCAATAGCATGAGAGACTTTAAAAGGCTTTGAATAAAGACCAAAGGGGAAGGGAAATGCCTTACCCTGGGGCATGAAAGGCAGACAGGAGTCTGCGCTGTTGCCATGAGTTACCACTCTCCACAGCAGCTCCCAGAGGACAGGAGCTGTTCTACCTCAATATCCCAGTCCACGACAGAGGGCCTGGGTCTGCAAATGCTGCCTGAGTGACCGAGTGAGTGTCCTTGTCATTAGAGGTCAGTGACTTCCTGTCCTACAGCCGGGAGTTACAGAGCTGTCACTGATCTCCCTTCCCCTGAATTTCCTACTTTTCACTCTCAACGCTCCATGACAGCTTGTGGAGAGTGTCTCACAAGGCCTGGCCGAGTCCAGCCTCCAAAGAGCTTTTTGTAAAATATATTTCATTCAGTGTGCGTATGTGCATGCATGCGTGTGTGTGTGTGTGTGTTAGCGTGTGAGTGTGTGTGCGTGTGAGTGTGTGTGTGTGTCAAGTGGAAGGCAGAAGGTAATCTGCAGGAATTGTTTCTCTCCATCTATCGTGTGGGTCCCAGGGATTGAACTCAGGTCATCAGGTTTGGCAACAAACATCTTTACCCACTGAGCCATCCTGCTGGGCCCTGAAGAGCTTCTGTACGCAGCAGTAGAGGACTGTGCTGTCCATAGCAGCCATCCAGATGTGAAGTGCTGACAGGCTCACAAAATTGGATTCAACTTCAAGCAGTGCAAACACCCAAAGAGTATAAAACATTTCATGAGTAATGAGACATATTTGACTTATGTCTCATGTGTACTGTGTTAAATGAGCTATTTCAAATTTGATTATTTTTACCTAGTCTTCATCGATATACTTGTAAAATGATGACTACCGTGGAATGCTTAAATTTACATGCACGGTTTACATGTATCTCTTCTGGGAGGACTGAAGTGGCAGATTCAGGCAGTCCTGGAGTTTATCTAGAAGCCAAGGCAACACTGGGAGGACAAAGTGAGGTGAAGCTGCCCCTCTGAGTCTGTTTCCTGCCAGCAGAGATGTGGCAGGGTCTGGTGAGTCTCTTAGAGATAATACAGAAAAGGGTGCCTCTCCCCAGAGGCCCCACCCACACAGCTGAAGCCCACAACTTCTAAGCTCTCATCCCGCCCATGGGCTGGGTCAAAGGGTACCCTTCTCTCGTGGCTCCACTGAACACAGCACCATCCACTGGGAAGTCAAGGCAACCCCCAGTGGGAAACATCCAACCTCAACTTCCCGCATGGCATCAAAAGCAGGACAAAGTCTAGAAGGCTGGATTTCCAGGTGTAGGACCCATAACAAATCATCTTTATCTTACAGACAGAGAGACGAGGCCCACTATGGTAAAACAACTTCCCAAAGTTAAATAGCTAGTGAATGGAAAAGCCTAGACTTGAAGCTGACTTCTTGTTTAGTCCCAGTATTCTTTCCAGTTCTGTTCACTTTAGAAAACACTGGCTACTTTTTTTTTTTTTTTTTTTTTTTTGGTTTTTCGAGACAGGGTTTCTCTGTATTGTTTTGGAGGCTGTTCTGGAACTCGCTCTGTAGACCAGGCTGCCCTCGAACTCACAGAGATCCGCTTGCCTCTGCCTCCCGAGTGCTGGGATTAAAGGCGTGTGCCACCAAAGCCCGGCAACACTGGCTACTTTTAAGAGACGTGCCAAAGGCTTGTGGAATGGATAATAAGTTGCAGATAATTATAAGGGAACAATGGTGGATATGAGGGAAGCGTGAAATGACTTCACAATCCAAAGCATCGGTGAGTTTGTCAACCTAATCACCCAAAGCAGTCCTCTTTTTCCTCTAGAAAGATGTTTGTGGAGGAGAGGAAGGACCGTGGAAGTGCAGCTGGGAACATAGCACGCACTGTTTCTGGCAGATACAGTTGGGGCATGTATCTCTCGGCCGGGACATTTAGAACTTGGGCATTGAAGTTCACCTGGAGCTACATCGATAGATGCCTTGCAGCCACTAGAGTGGAGCATAGGGGTGAGAACTGAGCCAGCTGAAAAATCCTGACAGAGACCGAACAAAGCTGACCTGTGAGCTGTTGCTTTTAGGAGCAGAGGAGGTGGGTGGCCGTCTCAAAGCCATGGCCCATTTCTCCCAGGAAAGGACGGGCGTGTGATGTCAAGGAGCACCAGGGTAGGAGTCTGAAGGTGCAGGGTTAGCCCTCCCTCTGCTACAGGTGCATGCCACCTGCGCTTAGAGGCAGGAAATGACGTGACCAAAGTGACAGACCCTCGGGTAGGTCGCTGTAGCTCAGAGCTCCTTCGGTTTGGACATTTCTAAATCTGTCTGGCAGCTGATGCTGACGTTCCCTCGTGGAGTTCTGATGTCTAACCCCGACATGTGCTGCCCACTGCCTGCCCCAAGTCCTTTCTTAGGGAAGAGTAGTCACAGCTAGCTTCAGTGACAGCTGACCGGCGCCGCACAAAATGCCAAATCCAGTTTGGCTGCAGACAGCTGCTAGTTCCCTTTCTCTGCCAGGTCACACTTTGTAAATGTCACAGAGAGCAGGGCCAGGCCCACTTGTCCCAACTTTGAGCCCGGTGACCCCGCCTCTGGGCTGGTGCACGGCTAGAGAGAGTGCCGGAGAGGAAGCTCTGCCTCCTAGAGTGGAGCCCACAGGCAGTGTTTCTCACAGCCCCTGGTCATGCTCCTGCACGCTGCCCCACTGTAAACTGGGATTCACTGAGAACTCAGAAGCCCCCTGGGGGTCTGTCCAACTCACTGCAGTGGAAACAGGTCTTGTGGAAGCTCCTCCCATTGCACTGGATTTCTTCTGCATGGTAAACCGTCTTTTCGCAGGCTCCACATTTTGCACCTCCGCCCCAGTTTGGCATGGTGAAGACTCTGGCCAAGGTCAATCTAAGAGGGTAGAAAGCAAATGCTCTAGGTTTAAATGGCATCGAGGGTAAACTGACCTAGAAATACAGTGATCTGAGGACCGAGGAACAGCCTGACTCACTCACTCACTCACTCACTCACTCACTCACTCACTCACTCACTCAGCAAATGACTACCTTCTACAAATAGCTCAGACCCTGGAGGTTTTGAGATATCTGTTTATTGAGTCAGCTGTTAAATTTCAGCGACACCTGTCCCCATGTATCTTACAGGGTTCCTGGAAGGAATAGATATCCCCATATATCTCACAGGGTTTTTGGAAGGAATAGATGTCCCTGTGTATCTATCTCATAGGGTTTGCAGAAGGAATTAGATGCCCCTCTATACCTCACAGGGGTCCCAGAAGGAATAGATGTCCCTACGTATCTCACAGGGTTCCTGGAAGGAATAGAAGGCTGGTCTTACGTACATAAAATTGTATTCCAATACTATTTTTTCGTCATCTAAAGTTTGGCCATTATCTCATGAGAAGTAGGATTGGCTTCTGAATGTGACATGTTCTTGTCTGTCTACCATAGATCTCAGTACAGTGAAGGTTCTGGTTTGGTGTGCCTCAGAACAGGCAGTAGTGATGCTGCGAATATGGCTTACAGTCTTAGCTTGTCCAGATGGCAAAATACGTAGAATATGTAAATTCTCTTGTCGAGTGTTGCTTCCAGCACCTGTGGTTGAAGAACACCATTGCCAGGCATACGGGTCAGTGCTATAGCAGCTCAGCAATCTGAGGAGGTAGGCTGTGCTCTCAGCTGCCCTCGGCATGCTCTGTGTATCCAGAGAGGTTACAGCACTTGTCTCTACCTCACCTCCTGACACTGTTCTCTGGGGTGTCACAGTGCTGTTTAGGGGACCAGAAGATTCCGTGTGTGGGAAGGGACTTAAGAGCTCACAGGGCTCAGTGGGAGATGGGACGGACCCGTCCCCTGCATCTTGGAAACACATTCTGCCTACAGCCAGACCTCTCCTCTCTCAGCTTTTCACTGGAGGATGGTGTTTTAAGAGAGGTTCACAAAGGATGTGGTGAGCCGTAATTTTCATGGACCTCTAAGTATGAACCCAATTTTTTGGTCTCCTTGGAGCAAAGCTGAATTAAGCTGTTGATATCTAGTAGACTTCAGAAGCCTACCATGTTCCCAGGGGACTGGATTCTCCCCGGGAACCTTCGGCTTCATGGAAGGTTGACGCATCGTGATAACATGAACACTAAGCACCACCGGGCACTCTAAGAGGCGGTTCTGGCCTTCCCTCACATTTCTGGGAAGACAGTTCCTTCTTATAATAGTTGTGATTAGCACTAAGCCCTCTTGGGTTAGCTCTCTGGGCTGAGTCGCACGGTCTCACAACACTGACAGTTTTGCTAAGAAACAGAAAGTAAACAGAAAACAGACCACTGAACATGACACTGGACTGAAGGCAATGTCCCAATCCGAGTGTCTCCGAGATGCCTTTCCCTGAAGAAGTCACCTTAAACACCCCATGCTGCCTCCCTCCCTGTGTCTTTTTCTGTTTGTCTAGAAAAAAAATTTTAGGAAACAACTTCAAAACAGGAAACATCTTCTAGAAGTTTCTATTCCGCCACTTGGTTTATTCAGTGGAGTGGGGAGAGAGAGATGAACAGCTAGAATCGAGTCTGCGTTCATTCGTTCACTCTAAGTGCTTGCCACCTGCCTGGCTGGTATACGGTACTAGCTCCTGAGTGATGGGTCAAGAAGGGAACGTGGAAGAGTGAGTGGGTTGTGTCCCGGCATTGAGAAGCCCACGCCGAGAAAAGAGGCAGGAGGAGCCAGAGCACCTTGGACCCGAGTGCTGTGGTGATTCAGATGAGAGAACAGCGAGGATTGCATTGTGGGGCACAGAAGAGACCACATTCAGCTGGGCTCTAAGGCTGACCAGGAGTCCAGCAGATACAGGAAAAAAAAAGGGCAGGGTATTCCAGGCAAACTTAGGGATTAGCAAAAAGCAATAATAACTTCATACCTCTAAAAAGAGCCATTGATACTGTAGACTCTTGAGTTGGAATGAATTTTGAAAAGTATCTGACATAGTCATTTTCAGCAAAGATGACTACATAGAAAGCAAGCAGATAGGATTATTTCTTATCTAATGTTTCCCCCCCTGGATCCGTCCTTCACGTATGAAAGATAACACAATTTCAAGAAAAGAGCAGAATCACTTAATTGTGTTCATGTTCATTTTGATCCTGGGTTTCAACATAGTACAAACAGGAGAAGTGTAATATGTTTCATCTGAGAACATGACAGTGACCCTTGTGAAATAAATGACATGGAAACTTCCAGTGGAAACAACATCAGGTCAGATTTCTCATTTCATCTTCTCAGTGATTTCATCGGCATGCCCAGAAACCTTACTGGGAGACTGATATGTCATGCATTATCCTCAGCAAACTTTTCAAAATGAGGGTAAAATTATATATAATGCCTCCTCACCAGCTAATGCATCTCAACAACCTTATTTGTAAGTGATCGTAGCTCTATGCCTTACATACATCAGGAGTCAAAACCCAAAATAGAAACACATAAAGATTCACTTAATGGGCGTGTGGTCCATTCCCAAAGAAGGGAGCACAGCAACGGAAGCTACACAAGGAAAATGTCTTTGGTGCTCACAGGCCAAAAGGTATAAAGGTATCACAACATGTCCTGGATTAGAAAACATGGGCTCTGATTGTCATTTATCACTTGAACTTGAGGGAAATAAATGTTAGCGTCTTCTTGTGCACATGCCTGTTGTAAAAGTCATAAAGATGGGGGAAATTTAAAGCAGCAGTACCGAGCTATTCCAAGGCAAATGTGATGCTATTGAAACACCACCGATGTGCTAGTTAAGTCACTATGACTTGAAAGTCCATTTAGGTCCTGGTTAACAGATGGCCCTTTTGGCTTCTGCATTGCTTTGGAATAGCTGTATTTCAACACCCAGAGCTGGGATCCAGATGAGCATTTACCTTGGCACAGAGCCAAGAGATGGGCCATTTGTTTATCGGTGTTGCTTGGAACTGGCAAGGGTCATTGAAGGTAGGATACCAAATATAGGCTTGCCTGTCAGTCAGCACTGTTTATCACCTGGTCACCATCACACCACCTGGCACTGCTCTCGGGAACTATTCTTGAGGTTGCTCTTGTCATAGACAAGTCATAGGCCATGGTTGAAAAGGGAGACAAGAATTGATAGGGATCAGTTAGAAAGTGAGGCCTGCTGTACCATCTGGGAGCAGACTGGACAATCTTGGTTACTCTGATCCCACTGAGAGAGGGCCTAGAGTGGGCTTCTTCAATAATGGTGCTTTGAGAGAAAAGTAGGAATTCCCTCTAGTGTCAGTGGGACCAGGTTGGGGCCTACAATGCAGGCCTTTCTAACCTATCAAAGCTGCGGGGTCCAAGAAGACCATCAACCTCTCTGACCTTTAGTGTCCTTTCCGAAGTGAGAACTCTTTGTGAACTGCTCAGAGGATTGTTCGGTGCAGACACTGTCACACACTCTGTAAGCTGAATGGTACTCAGTTATAAAATGTAAGTTTTAGCTGAGCCTCCCGCCGCTCTGAACTGCCGTGCGTCATCTGAATTGTCTAAAATCAAGCCAAACGGTTCATTGGACAGTCCTCCGGGTTTCCCCCCAACACCCTCTTTCTTCTTCCCTCCCTTCCTCTTTCTCCTCATCCCCCGTAACTACAAGACTTAAAGGTGATGTTTTAGGGAGAAGTGGGGTAAACAAACACAAGCCACTCAGTGACTGTGTCACTTCCAAGAGGCTCATTTAAAAATCCGGGAGAGATGCCTAAGGCCAGACTCTGAGACAGACGTCAGCAGGTACGTTCAGCTTACGGTTGGCTCGCCTGCTACCGCCAAGAGTAGCCTCCACACTGTGAGATGAACTGTCTACACTGGCTGAGATGAGTTCTCCCAGGAACACTGTCTGGGCTCGGGGATGGTTAGAGTTAGGACCATCTCAGACATAGCAGTGAAGTCAGAGGTTCTAGAGCACAGCAGTAACTCATGGCCAGGAACCCTTCCAGGCAGATTCTGTTGAAACCATCTTTTCAGATAGGGAAATGTGCCCTATCCCTGTCCTATATCACATCGTTAGACTGGAGCTCGGATCTCTGACTCCAGAGCTGTGTTTGCATACTAATGCTGGCCACTGTTCATGTTTACATCAATGCATTTCCTATACTATCTTTGGTACTTACACTAGTTCAACACAGTAAGTTGTGTTGTTTCCAAGTTGTGGATGAGAAAACTATACAGAGAGCTAGACAGCTTGACCAGCCAAGATCACACAGTCAGGAAATGGTAGAGCTGCATCTCAAAGGCTAATTAGGTTGACCCATATGCAAGCTTCTGCTGCAGTGTGTCTCCCGGGACCAAGCAACTCATCTGGTGGGAACTGAGATCTTACAGATTCATCACCTCTGCACAGGGCGTAGGATGTATCATGGGAGGAGTCCCGGGGACTTCAACGTAAGGGACGTCCGGGAAATCCGTGGTGTTCAGACATGGAAAGGGCTCCCTAGAGTTAGAGGTCGCTCTCACTGTTGATTTTCATGTTCTGTGGGGATGGACATCTAAGTGACTGCAGTGCAGCAAAGCATCTTCTAGAATTCTTCAAGCCCTGAGACTAGTTTAAGGACCTGAGCTGCCAGTGATCGAAGCCTCTCTTGCATAAACCCTGCTCGGCAGTGCTCCCTCTCAAGTACCTCTCCCCTCATAATCCAGCGAGGAAGACAGTGGAGTGCGAACGGGCACAGGCTTTGGAAAGAACCACAGCACACTCAGAACACTAACAGTCTGATCTGGCATAAGGCTCGGATTCCTGAGCACAGGCCCTCTGCATGGCAAAAGGACCAGGTTTGTCCCAGAAGGCTAAAGGCAGCGACAGTGCACGCCATGTTCATCCTTGGTGCACACAGAGATCCAATTATCGTTGTTGCCCTTATATTGTTATGATGGTTGATTGGTGTCATTTGCTCCGTAGTTTTTAAATCAGTTTTTGCCAAACAAACAAAGCTCTCTGTTCTTCCTCTCCGTAGATCTTTGTTGCAGACCACAAATCAACTGTGTCTCTCGGTCTTCAGAATCTCAGAGTTCGCCACCCGTGTGTGGCCTGCACAGGGGCGAGGGAGTCTGTTTCCTTCTCAGGCTGCCTGAACCATTGACCAAGGCCTCAGGCCCACCCTGCCTCTCCAAAGTTCTTGGCTGAGCTTGCCTTGGCAACCACTGGGGCTTTGGATGGAAGCAGCCCACAGAGTCCCTGTGGCCAAGGGAAGGTACACACTTTTCACTCCGAGAGTAGGAGTCAAGGTCAAAAGGTAGCTTCCTCATGATGTCACGGACCAGGTGTGTATATGAAGTCTCTCCACCACCGCCTGTCACAAAACCTTGGAAGCTTAGAAATAACCGTGAACATTGGCTCTCAGGCATGGTGGACGCGTGGTTAGACAGACTAAGGCACAGTCGCAGTGACCCTGCTCTGAGATTATCTCTGACTTCTGCCCTTGGAAGCCATTCTTGGTTCTGCTTTGACCTTTGTGCCTTAAAGGCCACGTTGTACCCTGATCACATCCTGGCTCTGCCGCTTTCTGGCCATGTGACCCTGTGTGGCTGCTACAGTCCCTTGAACTTCAGTTTGTTCCCCTAAAGAATGACTTCTCCAGGACTTTCCATGACTCTAAAGAGGCCCACGCTTATTCTGAGATGGGCAAGAGAGCATGTAAGCAGCGTCAGATGCTGATCCTGGTACCCAGCGATGTCCTTGAATGGAGCTCTGCATAGGTTCCATGCTTCACAGACCCTAGACCATCCCTGTGTCCCTCGCCGCCTCCCTCCCTGGGAGGGACACTCAGTTTTTCACCTAGGCAGTGCCATGTTTCTCTTTGGCTGTGACTCCCAGCCCTGTACACAGTAAGTACTCTCAGACGTCTGGGCAGCGTGCTGGTGCTTGGAAGGCTGCCTGCCCGGAGTTGTATTTCCTGTGAAGGCTACTCCTAGGGCCTGCATTCTTCCTCTTGACAAACACATCAATTAGCTTTTCGTTTCTGGTGAGCTTGTTAGCCACTCCGGCTGCTGGACTTCTGTCATCATCTTGTGCTTCACAGGACACCTTTCCTATCCCAGAGAAGGCCCTGAGCCCTTTCTGAAAGGCTTCATTTATTTACGCAGTCCTGTGAATTTTGTGAAGCACTTCCCTGTGTCTTATTCCGTCCATACACATTCCCCCTAGAGGTAGGTGGTCACCCTTGCATTTTACCCTTCCCAAAGTGAAGGCTGGGAAGCTAAGGGATACCCAGAGCTGTAATTTGAATCTCTGACTCTGCTCTCTTTGCTTCTCTTCTCATTGTCCCCAAGAGCTAAGGATTTGCGTCTGCCATGGTTCCGCCTCCACTTTTCTGGGTGAGGCTCTTATTGTTCGCCTGCTGCTTGCCCCTCTTACCCTGTCCCCATGCTGCCTCTCACCCTGTCCAGCCTCTGTCCCATACGCTGTCTTGTCCCTTACAGGTATTTTGTGTGTCCAGGCTACAGATCACCTGTCGGCCCAGCCTGGGAGCAGGCACCAAGCCCCGGCTCAGCTACAGCTCCTCCTGACAGCGGAGCTTCTGACACTGAGCACAAATGTGAGGGTTGTTCAGAAACGAACCAAAGCTAAAATCAGGGAGAAAAAAATCTCCATGTGTCCTGGGACACAAAGCAGGTCTACACCCATTGCGATGAACCGGCCAAATGATGGGGCATGTTGTAGTTGGGAGAGGTGTGGTAATTTCACCCAGATGGCCATAGCGTCAGTCCGCGTGAGATACCCCTGGTCTCTTCCTTTTAGAAAACAGCATAGCATGTTCATCTTATGTCGTTTCCCTTGACACCCAGTCCCCCAAGTAAACTGAGGACACGGACTGCCCACATTCCCCTACCCAATTTCATAGCTTATGCCTCCATCTGCCCCAATTCTGAAGCAGGAGACAGTTCATAGGACCTATTAACTGGCATTACGTCACTGCAGTTAGACAAGCCCCCCCCCATGGCCACCTGCTCCTCTATGGAGGGTTCACCACCCAGGCCAAGGGCCGGAACAGAAATTAGAAGCGGCAGCTTTGATCTGCACAGCCTTTCCACCCAGGCCATTGCTTAAAACCACTTCTCGTATTCATTCACTGCATATTAAAGAAAAATCCTTGACTGGAACCTGTAAGAAGCACTGGGGATCAACCTTGCCACTGGCAGTGAATTAATCTTCCCTTAAGTAAGAGCTTTTTAATGGATTTTCAGCATCACAGTGTCTTCCTTTTTTTAATGACCATTTTTAGATGGCCAAAAGCATGCCTGTCACTGGACATCTTTGGTGTGTATCTATTTTAAAGCAACAATCCTGGAATCTCACTCATCCACCCACGCCTTGTGAGTAGCCAGGTTTCATGATTTGAGCTGGGAAGGGCTCTCTTCTGGACTGTTGGATCTATGACACCTGCTTTGCAACTGTGTAGTCCTTTAGAGTTTAGAAACAAGTCACTATATTTGTATCAAACCCTTGGACAATAAGAGACCAAGACCCCAAGGGAGGGACTTCCTTAGAGCCACTCACCTGCTTCTTAATGACAATTCAGAGACTGCAGGGCAGGTCTGTTAAAATCCTTTTTCCCCTTTCCTCTGCCATCTGACCCAGAGAACCCGGCCACCCCTCTATGGCAGTGGCTTTAGACCCAGATTAATCCCATGCCCGCTGCTCTGTCTGAGAGGTTCCCTTGAATTCCCACCATGTTTTTTAAGATGCTAGGAAATCAAACCCAGACCTTCACACACACTCCCCAAACCCTCCAATATTAATCATGCTTTTAGGAAGTAAAATAACTGCCATGTCTACATGTGGATCAAGTATACAATTTGACCCTCCTCATATGTAGCCAGAGTGGGTGCTGGGAGTTGGTTGTAAGATATACCTCCACTCTGTAGAACTCTATATAGTCCCATCAGCCACCCAGTCGGTCAGTCACCCTAGCCCAAATGCCTGTTCAATTCACTTACCTGCCTGTGTGGTCTCTGTCAGCTCAACTGAGTAAGGGGACTCTTGTCCTCTTTAAATATATTGAGGCTGTCACCAGCCTTGGCTTGCTGAGGGAAGGGCTGAGGGGAGGCTGAGGGGAGGGGGTGAGTAAGACAGGAGTAACACAACCGCCAAAAATAGCCCGTGACCAAAGCCCTTAGTTGTGCTCCCCAGCCCCTCCCCACCCCACGGCAGCGGGGAGCCTCCTGGATAACAATATTAGTTGGGTTCTATTTTAATTGCCATCTGCCTAAGGCAGCAAGGGATGCATTTGTGAAGTGTACGGTTTCTGACCGAAGACTTGCAGGAGGAGTAAAGGGTTTTATGTTGAAAATCACTTCTCAGCCCCTCCCCCACACCCTGCCTGTTCTGCAAACCAGTGCAGGGTACCTGCAAATGAATCATGAGCCATGTCTGGGAGCCCTCTGGAATTCCGAGACCCAGGTCACCGTACTTGCGAGGAGAACTCAGAGCTAAAAATAAGAGTGATGGGGTCTGGCACACACTTAACTAATCTCCTCAAGGAGGCTCGCAGAGGAGGTGGGGTTGACATCAGCTAATCATCAGAGGCCTATTTGTCCAAGGAAGAAAAGTTTTGTCTGAAGTTTTGGGTCTCAAATCTTGATTAATGGTCCATTTCACGGTTTAGACTAGGGCTTGTGGTAATTTCACAAGGATGGGCATGCCATGGCTTTAAGTGAAATACACTTGGCCCATGTTATCATGGAAAACAGCACAGCTTTTTCATCTGAGAAATAAGGCAATGATGACTGACCTGTAAGGTGAAGGATCTTAAGGATTCTGGAAGGATAGCAGCTTTTAAAGTTGTGCGTGTGTGCGTTCGTGCGTGCGTGCCTGTGTGTGTTCAGTCTTCAATCAGTATAAACCAGCAGTAGTGGTGCATTCCTGTAATTCCAGCATCTGGGAGGTAGAAGCTAGAGGATCAAAAGTGACCATTCTCAGCCACATAACAAGTTCAAAGCAAGCCTGGGCTGCATGAGGCTCTGTCTCAAAAAAGAAACAAACAAAGCAAAAAAACACAAAGCAGGTATACCAAAATTTCTTTTGTGGGCTTTGACACCAATATGTTTTTAATGTAGCTAATGTTAAATGGGATATCAACACATAAAGCCAATAAACCTGGAGCTCCACACGGCTTCTCGTGTACCTTCTAATGCTGCACTTTGAAGTCAGGCGTGAGAATACAGTCCTGAGAGAGAGAGTCTGCGATGACTTAGCTAAATTCTCACACAACTGAAAGGGCCTCAGCTGCGTCTAAGTGTCGCACGTGATGATTCCACAGGACTGACTTCTCTGCAGACACACTCGTTGGCATGTGAGTGAGTCTTGTTATGTTTTCTGGGATATTCCTTTGGTGTATGCGTGGTCCGTATTTTCTTATAAGGATTCCAGTTATATTGTATTAGTGTCTTCTTTGAAATGCCTGTCTCCAAATACGGCACCACACTCTGAGATTCTGAGCCAGTTAGGATGTAAATGTGGATTTTAGAGGGATCCAATTCAATCTTCATTTTGCACTCCTTTTGGGTGATTATCATGCTTACATTGAGAATCTATATTCAAGATGAATATAGATTTATGTCTTCGTTCTTTATTTAGATGATTATATTCTTTAGTCAGAATTTAGACGAAACTGTCTATAATTGCCCAGTAATGTTGTAGTGGGTAATAGTATCAGTTTATTCTTGTTTCTTTATTAATTTGATTTTTTTCCTCTGGAAACTTTTGGATCTCTTAAATTTCATGATTTCTTTTTGTCTTTTAAAGTTTATATCACCTGTTATTTAGTGGGTCATTTCATCTAGAAGAACCCGTGTTTTTCTTTTGTTTTGTTTTAGCTTTGGAAATTTTTGTTTTTTTAATTAATTCTTCCTTCCAACACTGATTAAAACCCAGAACATTGTCTTTTTGTGTTTATTCAAAAATTTCTAGCTCAACATTGCCTAAAACAGTGGTTCTCAACCTGTGAGTCATGACCTATTTGGGGAGGGGTGTTGAATGACTTTTTCACAGACTATTACATTAAAATTCATAACAGTAGCAAAATTACAGTTATGAAGTAACAGCGAAAATAATTTTATGATTGGACATCACACAAGAGGAACTGTATTAGAGGGTATGGCATTAGGAAGGTTGAGAACCATGGCCTAGAATGAATTTGCATTACATCCAAGTATATTCAGCCATTTACTCATTCACTAATTTAAAAAACCATTTCTTTTTTTTTTTCGAATTTTTGTCTTACTGTGTATCCCAGCCTGGTCTTGAACTCAAGATTTTCCTGTCCTAGCCACCTGATTTCTGGGACTGCAGGTGTGTACCACCACACTTGACATTATATAATTTTTAGCTTCACTGATTTTTTTGCCCAGCCCATTCAGGATGACATACCAATCAGAAAGCAAGGATGGGCTGGGCAAATGTTAATGACTCAATTGGACAAGTCCGTTTATTCTATTTTCTTGGTTATTGGTTCTTTTGACTCTAGGGCTCCTCATAGGGCTAGTTTTTATAATGTATTCAGGATTCTTGGCTGCCTGTTTATAATTCTGAGAATTTCTGTTTCTTCACCTCCTGGTAGACAGCACTTCCAATTGAAGGAATTTCCCTTCAGTTGTGGGCCAGGGATAGTTTATGCTGTTCTGTGTTGTCTTGGTCTGGGGTAAGAATTTCCAGCCCCTTTTGAGGTCTCTGGGAATATCTCTAGGCTTCTTCTTCCTCTTCCTTTGTTTGTTTGAGACAGATGCAGCTCCCTAAACAGCTGGTTCTCCAACACACATGTGAGTCCTGCAGGCTTAGGCTAAGAAATCACATACCCCCTCCTCACTGCCCCTGGAGGAGCTAATGCCTAATAAGTCACTGGGACACACAGAGCACAAAAGGACAAAGCATTCACATGCAGATACAACTCCAAAACCCTTTATTCAATGGTCTTTTGCTTGATCATGGTCCGTTCAGCAAACATTTTTGATCAGTATACCGTGTGTGTGTGTGTGTGTGTGTGTGTGTGTGTGTGTGTGTGTGTGCGCGCGCGCGCGTGTGCGCATGCACGCCCCCTCTCATATTTACATGTATATTTATCTACATCTAACTTACTATCACATTCCTATAAAATGCATATTTTGAAGCACATTAAAACTACACACTGAAAAGGAAAAAATGTAATAAAAGTTCTTATTCTTTTACTCCATTATCTCGTATGTTCCCCTGGCTGCTGCTCACCATTCCCGACTTTAGAAATCACAGTTCTGCTCTGTGTCACACAAAAGAAGGAATTAAAAAAAAAAAGAATCTGCAGCCTAGGAATCTCTGCTTCCATCTGCTCATCCAAACTCGTCTAAAAAGAAACATAATTGGACCCTGATGTATTCAATGTCAGCCACATTCTTGAAGTAACTAGGGCTTTTTGCTATTTCTATGCACCAGTGATCTGACATTTGTCTTTGGTTCTTATTTCAAAAAGAAAATTAACTCTAAAATGCCAGTCAAAGGTTGATCCTAGCCCTGTGTCCTGTCTGTAAAAGGTGCAGAAATGGACAGATGGACACCTGGGTGTCACAATGGTGGTTTCTACCTAAGTTGGTAATGATACTGTCACTTTTTATGAAAGGAGCTGAGACTGGAAAAAGAGAAAAACTCAATTGTTCACATTATCTGGGCAGTTTTAATTGGTCACCTCTGTGACGACAGTGTTTGTGATACTCCTCAGTTTGAAAGCCCTCTGCTGCAATCTAATTCTCTTGGGTTCATTTCTGTCTGTGCCCTTTTATCTCTGCTTTTGTCTCTGAAGCAGAGGGAGAATATAGGTGCATTCACCCCTTCTACAGATGAAGAAGATGGCTGGAGAATTTCAATCATACCACATACCACTAGTAAACAGCCAAGTCAAGGCTTGAATCTGGGCCTCTGCATCAAAGGCTATGGCTTGGTGGAAACTTTCACTACAGTGGTATTATACGGATATCAGAGGGAACTCTAGGTCTGATGCCCACACAGAGAAAGTACAAACTCAACTTCATCTTACACTGAGAGGTTAGCAAGGCTTTATGTAATTAATCCTTTGGAGTTGGAAGATGCTGCTCTTGTACTGAAGCCTCTAACAGTAAACTTGAGTAATGCAATCCTTGACGTCCCACCACAGGCCAGCAAACTGACCAGGCCAGTGACATAAACACCATTCAGTCTGTGAGACTGTCCTAGGAGCTATTTCAATGATCTGAACAGATGCTCACTGGTCACCTATGTCAACAAGATGTCCAGTGTCTTTTGAAGTCATCCGTTCTCTCTCTTCCTGTTGCTCCTCCTCTTTTGTCCCGGATGTCTTGCTAGACTTACCTGGAAGCTCTCACCAAGCTTCCCACCTCTCCCTCATGTGGCATATCCACCAGAGGCATTTGAAGCAGGTCTGGCGGTGGCAGCCTTGAGCTGGAAGGCCTCCGCTAGTGCCCCACTGCCATGAGATCATGCTCAGAAATTTGACATGGCATTTGAGTTTCTTCATCTTACTCCAAGCCCGCTTTCCATCTTCTCCTCAGCCCTTCCTCTATCCTATCTTTCAGCCTCTCCAGTCTAATCGCTGTTCTCCAAAAATAGCCAGGGCTTTCATGCCTCTCCGATTGCTCATGTCCTGTGCTCTGTCTGGAATGTCCTCCACCTTCACGTCCTCCGTGGCGGAACCTTCCTCGTCCCTCGGAAAACGGCACACGTGACGCCTCTTCGCCAGAGCCTTCACACCTCCCCTTTCCAGGTGGGATGTGCTTCTCTGGGTAGCGGGGCCCCAGAATAGTCTACATTTTCCATTACGGGGAGCTTTTAACTCATTAGCTCTTGAGCTTGCTAGGAGCTAGGAGGGTCTTGGTGATCTGTGGGTCTTTGGTTTAGATACCTAACATGTGTTCAGAAGTTTTTGTTTAAAATTTTTGCTATAACCCCAGCATTCAGCAGGCCAAAGCAGAAGGATCAGGAACTTGAGGCTAGCCTGGGCTACTGCATAGGAAGACTTGAGCCTCCCCCCACAAGAAGGCACAGTAAATGTATAATTTTTAAACATTAATTTATTGTTATTTTATGGGTGTGATGTATGGATATGTGCACGTGTGGTAGGTCAGAGGACTTA